CCCCGGGTTTGCTGCTGGTTCTTCCCGGGTTGGCTACTATCCCTTCCACCTCCGTGGAAGGGCAGTTCCCCCTGGCCACATTCCCCACTTCCGCAGGGGAGCGGCACACCGCCGGCCGGCTCTCTGGGGGCTGCACAGGTGTTCCTTCAGCTAGATGTTCCCCTTAGATGTTTCTGGTGCATGCCGTCTCTCTCCTCCTTTATAGTCCTCCTCTGCCAATCCCAACTCGGCTGCCCACACACCGAGTACGCTGCTCTCCTCCAATCAGGAGCAAGTCCTGCTGTTTATTGGTTGAACTGGAGGCAGCTGTGTAGAAGCTGTTTTCTCCTCTCCCAGTGCCATATTGTGGGAGAGCAGATGCATAGAATAAGTCTTAATTCCAGTAACTTAGTCTAGTCCGGGTTGCTCCCCACAGAGAGGAAAGCAAATGCTTTGGGATCAGATGGTAAAGACAGAATCAGTGTATCCAGAAGGCAGTGCTGGCGTCAGCGTCAGGAACTGGGAGATTTCTTCCAGGCATCCAAGTCCTTTTTAATTTCTGCAAGCTTTTCAGCCAAGTTTGGTATGTCATAGCTCTGAGCCAGATACATTCCAACCACGTTGCCAAAAGCAAATCTAAGCAGGAACTGGAGTGTGATGTCGGCATCAAGAAAGAGATGTATTTTACATGAAAAAAATTGAGCAGAGGCAGAGAGACAGACCAAGAGAGAAACAGAGGTGGACAAAGAGTGTGCCCATCCCCGGGCTCACTCCTTAAATGTCATGCACTCCAGTATGGTTGTGAGTGTCCTAAGCAGTGATTTAACTGCTGTGCTGAAGATCTGTCCCTTTTGGATTTTAAATTGCTCAAGAGAAGAAAAGATTTTAAAATAAGGATTTATTTATTTGAAAAGCAGCATTACAGAGAGAGAGGGAGAGACACAGGGAGGGGAGTAGAGAGAGATCTTCTGGTAGTTCACTTCCCACATGGTTAAAGCAGCTCAGGCTGGTCCAGTTGGAAGCCAGGAGCCTAGAACTCCATCAGGTCTCCTACATGGGTGGCAGGGGTCCATGTGCTTTGGCAATGTTCTACTGCTTTCCCAGGTGCCTCAGCAGGGAGCTGGATCGGAAGCAGAGTAGCAAGGATTCGAATTGGCACTCATGTGGGATGCTGGCATTATAGGTGGTGGCTTAACCTGCTGTGCCACAATGCTGATCCTGAAGAAAAGTTTTGTTTTTTTTTTTTTAAAGACAGACTTTTTTATATTAACTCGCAATATTAGTTTTCTATGGCTACCTGGTCTGAACCAGATCTCCAAAGGTCAATACCAGAGTGCCAGTTGGGTTGTATTGTCCTTTGGAGAATCTAGGGGTATGAAGCTGCCACAAAACACACGAAACACCAGAGTTAAGGGAAAGGTTTATTGTCGGGTGAGAGAAGCCTGATATGGCCAGGGGGAAGAGGACAAGAGAGAAAGCGACAGAGGGATCAGGAGAGAGAGAGCATGTTGCTGGAAGCAGGTCCTGTTATACATTTGCTGGGGGGCAGGAAAGTGGAAGCTGTGAGTCCCATTAGGGTGGGGGTGGAGCTGACACCTGTGCTTAGGCCATGAGGCTTAGGACTGAAGCTTACTTTGCAAGGTAAGATGTCTGGCGCATAGCATGAATAAGATGGCACCATTTTACTAACAGACTCCCTTCTCTCTCTGACATGGACTCTTCTGCCTCCTTCCTCTTAAAAGGACCCTTTTAAGACTATGTTGGGCCCACTGAGATAATCCAGAATCTTCTCCTCGTCTAAAGGTGAGATGGTGAACAACCTTAACACCATCTGCAGCTGTGATTCTCCTTAGCGATTTAACTTTTCACAGTCAGGATCCAGAGATTATGATGTATCTTTTTTTTTTTTTTTAAGATTATTTATTTATTTGAGAGGCAGAGTTAGAGAGAGGGAGAGACGGAGAGAAAGGTCTTCCATCCCCTGGTTCACTTCCCCAAAAGGCTGCAACGCTTGGAGCTGAGCTGATTCAAAGTCAGGAGCCAGGAGCTTCTTCTGGGTTTCCCACATGGGTGCAGGGGTCTAAGGACTTGAGCCATCCTCTGCTGCTTTCCCAGATGCATGGAACAGCTAGGACTTCAACAGTCCTTCAACAACACTGTAGGCTGGGGCTTTACCGCATTGTGCCACTGAGTATCTTTTTAGGTGCCTACCACCCCAACATGGGTTACATAGTTACCATTTTTGGTGATCTTCATTCCTTCCTGTAGAGGAGATGGTGTCAGTCCCTTTAGTCTGAACAATTTTTTAAAAAAAGATTTATTTATTTGAAAGGCAGAGTTACAGACAGAGACAGAGAAAGAGCATGAAATCTTCCATCTGCTGGTTCACTCCCCAAATTGCATCAATGGCCAGAGCTGGGCCAGTCCAAAGCCAGGAGCCAGGAGCTTCATCTGGGTCTCCCACATAGGTACAGGGGCCCATGGACTTGGGCCATCCTCTGGTGCTTTCCCAAAGGCATTAGCTGGATCAGAAGTAGAGCAGCCGGGACTTCAGCTGGCACCTATATGGGATGCCAGCGCTGTAGATGGCAGCTTAACCCGCTGTACCAGTGTTGGCCCCTCTCTCTTTCAAAAAAATTTTTTTTCATCTATTTGAAAGGCAGAGTGATAAGGGGGAAGAAAGAAAAAGAGAGAGAAGTCAACCATCTGCTGGGTCACCCCACCAGCCTAAGGCCTGCCACAGGGCTAGGCCAGGATGCTGGAACTTCATCTGAGTCTCCCATGTGGATGACTTCAGCCATCAACTGCTGTGTCCCAGAATGCATTAGCAGGAAGTTGGATGAGAAGCAGTAGTGCTGGGACTTGAACCAGCGTTCCATGTGGGATGCAGGTCCCGAAAGGTTACTTGACCTCTGTGCCACAAAGCCTCCTCCTAGAGGCTTATTTACTATGAAGCAAAGCTAAGGTTCAGGACCCACAGCACAGACCCTGGGAGTTATGAAAATTACTGGGGTTGGATGGGGATTTGTAAGTAGGTGTCCCAGTTGGGAAGGAGCCAGATTGCAACAGGAAGCATTCCTGATCAATTGCCTACAGAGGTTGCAAAAGAAAGGGTCTAGCCTCCCAAAATTCCATAATTGGTTGGGTGTGTTTTTCTCAATCTGAATTCTTAGTAAGTATTAACTCAGCTACCTAATGTTAGACAATCTGAAAAATTGCAAACACTTCAAGTTTCACCTCGTTCTGCTGGGTGAGAGCAAGCATTCTGGAGCCTGAGTTCAAATCCTGGCTATAATCAACAGGTGCATGACCTGGGGCCTCTCTAAGCTTATTTCCTCACTTTTAAAACAGGGGCATTAACAAACCTATCTCGCAGTTGTGAGCAGTAAATAATCACAGCTGAGCTCACGAGTGCGGGGTGGTAAATCACATGTGTGCACCATTGCCATTGTTAGCAAGCACCTGGGCTAGGTCTTGCTGACTCCTGTTAGAACCCATTAGGCCACTAAGGCACAGATAGTTGACCCCAAACCCAGTGACACTGGGCACGGTTAGTCTAAAGGCTAGTGGAATTTTTATTGCCAGGCAAAGCCCCTCACCTGGGACATTCCAAACTGCCAAGACTCCCAGCCTTTTTGCAGGTCCCCTATCTCCCTGATCAGGGCCCACACGGCACTCTGAGAACATCCACATGCCTTACCAAGAAGGTACTCTGCCTGCTGCCCTAGTGGAATGAAGCCTGACTTCAAACCCCCACCCTCTGTCCTGACAGGTTGAACCCTCTCTTTAACCACCTATTCTGTGCTCCCTAAAATAAAAATATTTTCTGCCTTAATGAGTCATCTGGATGCTTATTCGAACCCTAAAATCCTAAAGCCTAACACCAGCACTGTTTGGGCTAGAAAAAAGAAAACCCCTGACTTCAATGCTGGCATCCCATATAGGGGCTCATTTGAGTCCTGGCTGCTTCGATCCAGCTCCCTGCTAATGCACCTGGGAAAACAGCGGGAGATGGCCCAAGTGCTTAGGCCCCTGCACCCACGTGGCAGAATGAAAAAGCTCCCATCTTGGGAGTGAACCAGCAGATGGAAAGTCTCTGTCTCTCCTCCTATCTCTCTGTGACTTTCAAATAAATATGTGAGATTTTTTTTATTTGAAAGGCAGAGTTATAGAGACGGAGAGCTGACATCTTCCATCTCTAGGTTCACTCCCCAAATGGCCGAAAGGGCTGGAGCTGGACCAATCCGGAGCCAGGAGGTTCTTCTGGGTCTCCAGGGGCCCAAGCAATTGGGCCAACTTCTGCTGCTTTCCTAGGCATAGTAGCAGGGAGCTGGATTGGAAGTGGAGCAGGTGGTCTGGAACCCGCGCCCATATTGCATGCCGGCATCGCCGGCAGAGGCTTAAAGTGGTCCCCATAAATAAATCTGAAAAAAAAAAACAAACAAAAAAAAACCAAAAAAACAAAAACCCAAACAATAAAACAACCAAAACCAAAACCCTCCAAACCGAGAAAATCAGGTCCTCTGGGAGCTTCCGTTACTAAGCCCACCACGGGACAGTTTGGGCAGAGCACCTGCCGATGGCCGAGGCTTGACTCCCACTCTGGATCCTTCGCTCCAGGTATGACCCAGGGAAGATGCGATCTGCCCTGAGCACGACCAAAACGCGCAGAAATTTGCGGCTTTTCATAATCGCCAGGCTTCTGTGCACATTCCGCGCTCTAAATCGTCCCTTAAGTTGCTGCGGGGACAGCTCTCCTGCCTGGGACAATAGCCGGCGGAACTGCACCCCGTTCGGCTCTGATTCCGCGGGGCCTGGCCCACCCAGCCCAGCCGGCTCCCGGCGCCTCACGGCCCGCGCTCCCACCCAGCGCCCCACTCCCGGACCGATCTGCAGCTCTAGGACCCAGACCTTCGCAGCCGCTGCACCTAGGCCCGCCCCTTCCTCGGTCGCGAGCGCCGAACGCATCGAACGTAGCCAATGGGTGATGCGGCGGCAACGCGGCGGGAGGTTCGATTGACCCGGCCTGGCGGGTCGGGAAGTCCGGGCGGCTGTTAACGCGCGCTTTGGCAAGAGGAGGGTTACCGGGGAGCTGCGTAGGCCTGAGTCTGTCCCTGCTGCTCTTTTCTGCCCCTCCTGGGATTCTTTTCCCAAACTGGGTCTTTTACTGGTTCCTTTGGGGTCCCTGCTGGACCTCTCTCAGTCCGGGCTTCGTATCCGCGTTCCAACCCGGGAAACTCCTTCTCCGGACTCGGTGCCTGGCCCTGAAGCTTTGGACTTGAACCTCAGCTTCTCTGTCCTTGCCCGTGACTGCCTTAGCCCCGCAACAATCTCCTTCCGACACCCTGACTGGGACCATCATCCTGATTCTACTCTGTCCGGCCTGGGACTCCACCCCTCCCCCACCCCACTCTTAACGCTGCCGGGACCCTCCCTCTGGCCTAGTCTTCCGCCTCGCTTAACTGGCAGCAGACACACTCGCACACTTTGGGCCCGGGCTCTATCCCGTGGCCGAATTCATTCCAACCATGTCCCCTCTGTAGTTAGCAGCCTCCTCCGTAGCAGGCCCTAGCTCTGCATTCTCAGCTGCCGGCGCCTTTGACCTTTGGCTAATGGGCTCTTGACTTTTGTGCTCCTGGGCCCAGGATGGTGAGTGTGCGCCTAAGGGAAAAGAGAGGCTGTTGTAGTGGGCCCGGGCTTCAGGATCCCTGTAGGTTTTCAATTTTCCTTTTTACCTTGCAGAGGAGGAGCTTGGCTCCCAGCCAGCTGGCTAAGAGAAAGCCGGAGGGCAGATGCCCTGACGATGCAGACTGGCAGCCTGAGACCGTGGTGAGTACTCCAGTGGGCGCAAAGGAAGCCTGGACTTGGTTTCTGGAGTTTCCTAGTCACCCCCAGAAGCCTTTCATATGTTCAGTAAATTTTTTTTTTAATTTATGTATTTGAAAGACTGACAGAGGGAGAGAGAGAGAGAAAGAGATCCTCTGTCTGCTGGCTCACTCTCCAAACGGCTGCAATGGCCAGGGCTGGGCCAGGACAAATGCAGGAGCCCGAAACACCTTCTGGGTCTCCCATCTGGGTGTCAGGGGCTCAGATATTGAGCCACCTGCTGCTTTCTCAGGCGCCTTCACAGGGAGCTGGGTCAGAAGCAGAGCAGCTGGGACTTGAACAAACTGACACCCTGACGTGGATGCTGGTGTCCCAGGTGGCAGCTTAAGCCGTGCCAGAGCACTGCCCCTATATATATTCAGTAAACTTTTAATGAGTGTTTACTATGTGCTAGACATTGAACACGATTAATGAAATCTTTGTCTTCAAGTAATCCCTAGAAGCTAATATATACTTTTTATTTTTTTAAAGATTTATGTATTTATTTGAAAGTCAGAGTTACACACAGAAGTAGAGGCAGAGAGAGAGAGGGAGGTCTTCCATCTGCTGGTTCACTCCCCAGTTGGTCGCAACAGCCGAGCTATGCTGATCTGAAGCCAGGAGCTTCTTCCGGGTCTCCCACGTGGGTGCAGGGGCCCAAGGACTTGGGCCATCTTCTACTGGTTTCCCAGGCAATAGCAGAGAGCTGGATAGGAAGTGGAGGAGCCGGGACTTGAACCAGCACCCATATGGGATGTGGCACTGCAGGCGGTGGCTTCACCCGCTTTGCCATAGCGCCAGCCCCAGCTAATATATCCTTAATTTTCCTGGTGGGGAGGAGTGTCCCAAAGCAAAAGAGCTTTGGGTTGGGCTCTTTGACTTCGTTGGGAAAAGATGGGCTCCACCACACAGCAGCCAGCAGCCTGCTCTTTTACTCTTTGTCCTCAGCCAGGGGTCACAGTAGAGTATTGTGAGCTTACTTTAGGATCCTGAGCTCACGTGGGCCTAGAGGCGTTGTACCCTCCAATTCCTGTTCATACTCAAGTACAGCGCGTTCTGTTTTGGGCTGTGCTCCCCTCCCCGCCTTGGACGCTTGCCGGGAAGGGCTGTGAGCAGGACGTATGTAAATCAAAACAAACAGAACGGTGCAGCATGTACTTGAGAGAGTGCGCAGCTCAAGCAGCAAGGGCTCGGTCACTGGAGCGCTGGAGGAAAGAATCAGCTGAGGACTGGACGGCACTTTCTGGTAGGGCAGTGTGGTAAAGGCATGTAGAGAGAGGGCACGGGAGCCTGGCGTTTGTTTCAGATGTGTCTTAAGGATCACCGGAGTTTCAGATAGCGGGGCAGGCTGGTACAAGTGAGTTCTGGCCTGGTGGCTTGGTGTGATTTCCTCTGTAGTTACAAGGGGACTCCTCTACCTGTGAGAAAGGCGTATTAGCTTCCTCTGGGCACTTACAGGGTCTCAGGCTTGAACTTGGCGGGGGGGGGGGGGTAGCATTCTCAGCATGAATAGTGCTGTTTGTTGCTGTGGCATTTGAAAATGGTTTTGGCCGGCGCCGCGGCTCACTAGGCTAATCCTCCGCCTAGCGGTGCTGGCACACCGGGTTCTAGTCCCGGTCGGGGCACCAGATTCTGTCCCGGTTGCCCCTCTTCCAGGCCAGCTCTCTGCTATGGCCAGGGAGTGCAGTGGAGGATGGCCCAGGTGCTTGGGCCCTGCACCCCATGGGAGACCAGGAGAAGTATCTGGCTCCTGCCATCGGATCAGCGCGGTGCGCCGGCCGCGGCAGCCATTGGAGGGTGAACCAATGGCAAAGGAAGACCTCTCTCTCTCTCACTGTCCACTCTGCCTGTCAAAAAAAAAAAAAAAAAAAAAAAAAAGAAAATGGTTTTGGAGCCAGTGTCCTCACTGCCATGGGGTGAACTGAGTGGCCTCAATGGCCTGAGAGCTAGGGACAATGGTACTCTGGTCCCTCCCTCAGGAAACTTAGGGAGGGAAGCATTTGTTTGCTTAACCATTTCTTGAAGTTTTTGGAGTGAAGTTTTGGGGTCACCATAACGCCATGCTGCTGGTGGACCTCAATCACAGGCCTTCATTCACCTCTCCCATCGCCCTGCCACCGCCCCTCAGTTTAGGCAAGGTACTTAATCTCATTAAGCTCCGGTTTCTCTCGTCTATGCAGTCAGGATAATACTAAACATATCATAGGGTTACTGTGAAGATGCTACACACTCATACGTGGGAAGTGGTCGTTAGCACAATGCCTGGCGCCTCAAGTGTTTGTTGCCTTTATGGTGATCTGTGTGGTCTTCCTGACTTCAGCTTCTCCATTTCTCTCTCCTAGACTCCTAAGAAACAGAAATCCAGAAGCGAGAGCCAGATGCAGGAATGCTTCCTGTCTCCTTTCCGGAAACCTTTGACTCAGCTGACCGATCGACCACCCTGTCTGGATAGCAGTCAACATGTAAGTCAGAGCCGTAGCTTACGTGTATGTGTGTGTCCAGTCGTTTTGCCTAGGTAGACTCCACGGATCTCTCTCCTTGCTCCACAGAAAAGTAGCCTGACCATAGCTGCTGTAGCCTGCTTGGAGATGTGTGCCTGACTCGAAGTCCTCCCTTGTTTACGGCTGCATGGGCGCCAGGTCTCAGGTGGCTGCAGTTCCTGAGAAAGCAAGGGTAGAGGAGAGCAAAGGTCACGGTGGGGATATTAGGGTTCTGTTATTTTCATGTATTTCCTAATAGTAAAGTCTAACTTAATCATTGCTATGACAGGTACTATGTATTATCTTATATGGTGCTCATTTTTTAAGGTGGGAAAACTGAGGGAGCCAGTGTTGTGGTGCAGCGGGTTTAAGCCATTGCTTGCAATGCTGGCATTCCATACTGGAGCATCAGTTTGAGTCCAGACTGTTCTGTTTCCCATCTGGCTCCCTGCTAATGCACCTGGGAAGGCAGCAGAAGATGGCCCAAGTAACTGGGCATCTGCCACCCACGAGGGAGACCGGGATGGAGTTCTTGGCTCTTGGCTTTGGCCTGGTTCAGCCCCAGCCATTACAGGCATTTGGGGAATGGATCAGCAGATGGAAGATGTCTTTCTTTCTCTCCTATGTCTCTGTGTCACTCTGCCTTTCAAATATTTTTTTTTTAATATTTATTTATTTGAAAGAGTTACAGAGAGGCAGAGAGAGAGAGAGAGAGAGAGAGAAATCTTCTATCCTCTGGTTCAGTCTGCAAATGGACAAAATGGCTGGAGTTGAGCCAATCCAAAGCCAGGAGCCAGGAGCTTCTTCCAGGTCTCCCATGTGGATACAGGGGCCCAAGGACTTGGGCCATCTTCTACTGCTTTCCCAGACCATAGCAGAGAGCTGGATCAGAAGTGGAGCAGCCTAGACTCGAAACCTGCACCCACATGAGATGCTGGCACTGCAGGTGGCAACTTTACAGGGCTAAATTGCCTGAAGTTATTCAGTAATTGGTGTGTGGAGCAGATCTGCTTAGCTCCAAGACTCATTCTTCCAGGCTTTTTGTGAAACACTTTGATACAAATAAGCATATTTATTTGAAAGGCAGAGGCACAGAGGGATCTTCCATCCATTGGGTCACTCCTTCAAATGTCTTCAACAGCTGATGCTGTTTCACTGTGAAACCAGGAGCCGGGAACTCAATTCATGTGGTAGCAGGGACCCGAGAACTTGAGCCACCACTGCTGCCTTCAAGGGTATTCATTAACAGGAAGCTGGGCTTGGAAAGAGCAAGGACTTGAACTCAGGCGCTCTGATATGGCATGTGGATATCCAAGCAACAGCTTAACCAAATGCATATGCCAAATGTCAGCCTTTAATAGAACATTTTTGAAGGAGAAAATGGGAATATATTGATGGGAATATATGTAACTGAGGCTAATCAACTTTATGTTCAGCAAACATTAAAGAACATTTAAAGTACTATTTGAAAAGAATATATGTAACTAAGTTATAAAATAAACCCCTGTGAACCCACCATTCAGGACTAGAACATTGCCATAGCTGTAATCCTCTTCATATCCCTTTAGGTAACCACTGTACTGAATTGTTTTCATCATACTTTGTTTTGTGTGATAATTTTATGATTATTGTATTAATAGTACCACAGAATGTGTTTTGATCTTTAATAAATAGCATTAAAATGGTGTGTAGTTCTAGGACACTTTTCATTCAGGATTCTTTTTTTTTTTTTTTTTAAGATTTATTTTTGGGGCCGGTGCTGTGGTGTAGTGGGCAAAGCCTGCAGTGCTAGGATCCCATATGAGAGCCAGTTTGAGTCCCAGCTGTTGTGCTTCTGACCCAGCTCCCTGCTGCTGCACCTGAGAAAGCAATGGAAGATGGCCCAAGTCCATGGCCCCCTCTCCATGTGGGAGACCCCGATGAAGCTCCTGGCTTTGGTCTGGTCCAGCCATGGCCATTTGTGGACAAGCAGATGGAAGACATTCTCATTCATTCCCTCTCCCCTCCCCTCCTTCCCCCTCCTCCTTTCCCTTTATATAGAAAAAGATTTTATTTGAAAGAATTATAGAGAGAGGGACATCTTCCATTCACTGGTTCACTCTAAATGTCTGCAATGGCCAGGGCTGGGACACCCAAGCCAGGAGCCCAAGGACTTGGATCATCTGCTGCTGGTTTCCCAGGTGCATTAGCAGGAAGCTGGATTGGGAGTGGAGATGTCGACATTGCAGACAGCTGCTTAACCTATTGAACCACCACACTGGCTTCTTAGGAAAGAGAAGGAGAGACAGCTCTTTCATTTGCTGGTTCACTCCCCAAATGGCTGCAATGACCTGGGCTGGAAGGCCAAAGCCAGAAGCCTAGAACTCCACCTGGATCTGGGTCTCCCATGTGGGTGGCAAGGGCCAAGTACTTAGGTCATCTTCTGCTGCTTTCCTAGTGGCATTAGGAAGGAGATGGATTGGAACTGGCACTGATCTGGGTACCTGCTTCACAGGTGGCAACCTAACCCTCTGTGTCACAACTCCACCCCCCCCCCCCCAATAATAGGTTTCTTTTTAAAGATTTATTTATTTGAAAGGCAGAGTTAGAGGGAGAGACAGAGATTTTTATCTGCTGGATCACTCCCCAAGTGGCTGCAATGGCTGGGGGCTGAATCATGCCCAAGCCAGGAGCTTCATCTGGGTCTCCCATGTGGGTAGCAGGGGCCCAGGTATTTGGACCATCATCTGATGCTTTCTCAGGTGTGTTAGCAGGAAACTGGATTGGAAGTGGTGCAGCCAGGATTTGAACTGGCCCTCATATGGGATGCCAGCAGTGAAAGAAAGTCCATACAGACAAATCCAGCTTGGGTTATTTTTTTTATATACTCATGCAGTCATAGAATATACCTTAGTTTATGGAGTAAGAGGCTCAAAAGGCAAAAATGTCTGTATCACAAGAGTCATAATGCAGCCTTGGAAATGAGCTTAGAGTGCCTATAAGAGAGGACTAGAGGTAATTACAAATGTGGGTATGACGTATAGAAGTGAGGAATGAACCAGAAATAGATTTGGAGGTTATTAGCATAGAGATATTTTACATCTTGGAAGTACATTGGGATATTGGAGTGAATGTGCAGTCTGAAGAGCTAGGGAAAAACCCTGAGCCCTGGGACTGGCATTGTGGCACAGTGAGTTAGGCCACCAATTTTAACTCCAGCATCCCAAGTCAGAGTGCTGGTTCAAGTTCTGGCTTCTCTGCTTCTGATCCAGCTTCCTGCTGATATGCCTGGGAAGATAGCAGATGATGCCCCACAGTACTTAGGACCCTTCCCACCCACATAGGAGATCAAATGGAGTGCTTGGTTTTTGGCTTCAGCCTGGCCCAGATCTGGCTATTGTAGCCATTTGGGAAGTGAACCGGTGGATGAAAGATTTCTCCCCCTATCATCACTTTCTCCCTATTACTCTTTCAGATGAATAAATATTTTATTCAAATGCAAAAAATGTGCAAATAAAGAATTTGGTTAGGCCTTTTTCCAGCCTTAACCTTGTTGTGTTGTTGAGTGTGATAATGAAATTTATTTCTCTATATTTTTCTATCTTCCAATAGGTCACAAAAATATTCATTATATTTGTCCTATTTAAAGTACATTGAGGGGCTGGTGTTGTGTAATGGGTAAAGCTGCTGCCTGTGATGCCAGTATCCCATATATTTACCTGTCTGTGTTCTGGCTGCTCCATTTCCAATCCAGCTTGTTGCAAATGGCCTGGGAAAAACAGAGGAGGATGGCCTAAGTGTTTGGGCCCCTGATGATTATGCGGGAGATCTGAATGAAGCTCCTGGCTTTGGCCTGGCCTAGCCCTGGCCGTCGTAGCCTTCTGGAGAGTGAACTTGCAGATGGAAGATCTCTCTGTCTTGTCTCTTTCTCTTTCTAACCATGACTTTCTTTTTCTTTTTCTTTTTCTTTTTCTCTTCTCTTCTCTTCTCTTCTCTTCTCTTCTCTTCTCTTCTCTTCTCTTCTCTTCTCTTCTCTTCTCTTCTCTTCTCTTCTCTTCTCTTCTCTTCTCTTCTCTCCTTCCTTCCTTCCTTCCTTCCTTCCTTCCTTCCTTCCTTCCTTCTTTCTTTCTTTCTTTCTTTCTTTCTTTCTTTTCTTTTCTTTTCTTTTCTTTTCTTTTCTTTTCTTTTCTTTTCTTTTCTTTGATTTATTTATTTATTTGTTTATTTGTTTATTTGAAAGACAGAGGCACAGAGAGAGAGAGAGATCTCCCATCTGCCGCTTTACTCCTCAAATAGCTGCAACAGCCGGAGCTGGGCCAATCTGAAGCCAGGAGCCCAGGAGCTTCCTCCAGGTCTCCCACACAGGTACAGGAGCCCAAGGACTTGAGTCATCATTTACTGCTCTCCCAGGCCATAGCAGAGAGATGCATTGGAAGTGGAGCACCGAGACTTGAACTGGCACCCATATGGGATGCTGGCACTGCAGGTAGCAGCTTTACCTGCTACACCACAGTACCAGCCTCCCAACCATGACTTTCAAATAAATAAATCTTTAAAAAAGAAAAATAAAGTACATTCCATTTGTAGAAATTTATGATGATCTGTGTGTATGAAGAAATGGATCAGAATACAAAGGTAGGGGCCAGCGCTGTGGCACAGCAGGTTAAAACCCAGGCCTGCAGCGCTGGTGTCTCATGCAGGTACTAGTTTAAGTCCTGGCTGCTCCACTTCTGATCCAGCTCCCTGCTAATGTGCCTGGGAAAGCAGTAGAGGATGGTCCAAGTGCTTGGGCCCCTGCACCCTCTTGGGAAACCCAGAAGAAACTCCTGGCTTCGGATTGGCTCAGCTATGGCTGTTGTAGCCATTTGGGGAGTGAACTGGCGATAGAAGACCTCTCTCTCTAACTCTGTCTTTCAAATAAATAAAGTAAATCTTTAAAAAATGTACAAAGGTAAAAACTTAGGCAAGACAGACTTGCTTTTGTTCCTATTTTTTTTTTTTAAGATTTATTTTATTTATTTTGAAAGAGTACAGAGAGAGGTAGAGACAGAGAGAGAGAGGTCTTCCATCAGCTCTGCTGTTTTCTTCTAATGTATCCCCATTAAAACTACCTTTAGGTGGCCAGTGCTGTGGCATACTGGAGTTGCATAAGTTTGTGATGATTGCTTCTTAAGGTGCTATGCCTTAGGGAAGAGCTGGGTGACCTCGCTGGCATGAGCTTTCGTGAACATGTGGATTCTGAGCCTCGTGGTGGACTGAGGCTGGGTGCTTTTGCTGTTCTTGCGTATTTGCAGAACCTTACTTAAAGCCTCAACAATGGAAGCTATCAGACAAAATTTAATGTGGACCATATCGTAACAGTCTTGTCCCATAACATCTCCAATTAGTCCTGAATCTCTGTTTCTCCTTTCTTTTTAGGAAGCATTTATTCGAAGCATTTTGTCAAAGCCTTTCAAAATCCCCATTCCAAATTATCAAGGTAAAATGGGAAGCTTTTCAGTTTTTTTTTTTTTTTTTTAATATGGTGTGTGAATGTGCCTGAATGATTAAAAACATCTGCTTTTACACAAGCTTAGTGGGAATTAAAGATGCTGGTCTGGCAGTGGCCATGTGTTTGCCTGTCCTGAGGCCTGTGTGAAAGCTGTGTTAGCACTGGCAAGGGTAGCTGGGACTAATTTCCTTCATCTTGGTGAGGTTGTGTCGCTCTCAGAAAGCTGCTGCAGGGCCAGGGTGGCTGATGGACCTGGGCTTCCTTCAGGCCAAGTTCCTTCAGGACTGTCTGCTTGCTGTGGGGGCAGCCTGGATTCTGTAAAGTGTTCCATGTCCTGTGCATGGTGCAGACAGCCTTGTGCTAAAACTAGGCCTGGAGGATGGAGCCAGCTTTCAAGAGCTCTCAGACTTGAAAGGTCCCCTTGGAAATTCAGACTTTCCCAGAGTGGACGTGAGAAGAACCAGACCTGGCCCTCCAGGGATTTGCAATTGAATGCAGAATTAAAATAGGAAAAGCATTGATCTGAGGTGAAAGGAATATTGGTTAGGTAGAGGTGCCTAAACTGGGGTTGGAGGAGTTCTGGGAGAGACAGGGTTGGGGGGAGTTCAGGGAAGTTTCTGTGAAGCACAAGCATTCGGGCAGCCTGCTGGAGCTCTTGAACACAAAAACCCAGCTGACTGGTGCTTGGTTTCTAGGTCCTCTAGGTTCTCGGGCTTTGGGCCTGAAAAGGGCTGGAATCCGCCGGGCCCTCCACGACCCTCTGGAAGAAGGTGCCTTAGTTCTGTATGAGCCTCCCCTGCTGAGTGCCCATGACCAGCTGAAGCTAGACAAGTATGTGCATGCGTATTTCTTGAATAGTTCTGGTCCTCTGCAAACACACGCCTCTGGGAGGGTGGAGGGTGATTTCGTGTGATTCCTCTTTATGTTTTCAGGGGCTGTCCAGACGACTGCACCATTGTAGGTGGTTGGGGAATGGGAGTGTCGAGGAAGAATATGTGTTCCTGCCTGCTTAATGGGGTTTCCTCAACTGCCATGCTCACTCAGGGAGGGGTGATTAGTACTGAGGCCATGACACGGGCAGCCCATCTCTCTACTCTCTTGCTAACTCCCCGGGCAAGAACTGGCTGTGGTTTGGTTATCAGGCTGAGAACAGGTCCTCTCAGGTAGCCGATTCTGTTGCGCCTGGATTGTCAGGACAGTTTGCTGAGGGCGTGTCATTGCCTGCATCTGAATGTGTTTTCTTTGCTGTGTTTTCTCAGGGAAAAACTCCCTGTCCATGTGGTTGTGGATCCTGTCCTCAGTAAGGTTTTGCGGCCTCATCAGAGAGAGGTAAAGAGGATGAGGGGAATGAGGTTGCGGGCTAGAGGCTGAGCCTGGAGACTGCTGTTCTTGGGCAGTGGCAGTGTAGGTGCCAAAGTGGACTGACTGCTGTTGTTCCCCAGGGAGTGAAGTTCCTGTGGGAGTGTGTCACCAGTCGGCGCATCCCGGGCAGCCATGGCTGCATCATGGCTGACGAGATGGGGCTAGGAAAGACGCTACAATGCATTACATTGATGTGGACGCTTCTGCGCCAGAGTCCAGATTGCAAGCCAGAAATTGACAAGGCGGTGGTGGTGTCGCCCTCTAGCCTGGTGAAGAACTGGTACAATGAAGTTGGGAAATGGCTTGGAGGTAGGATCCAGCCTCTGGCCATCGACGGAGGATCTAAGGATGAGATAGACCAAAAGCTGGGTATGGAGCCTTGACAGAGATGACTGCTCTTCTGCCCGGGCTGCTGCTTGCTTGCTTCTTGTGTAGATGCTCACATGGGCTGAGGTTGAGGGCACTGCAGGGATGGAAGAGAATTCCCACAGAAAATAGCTGAAATGGTCACTTACTTCCAGCCCAAACTAATGAACTGTCCGACTGTTTTCTTTAAGATGTTCTGATTTGGGGTTGGCTCTGTGCTGTAGTGGGTAAAGCTGCCACCTGCAGTGCCGGCATACCATATGGGCGCTTGTTCGAGTCCCAGCTGATCCACTTCTGATCCAGCTCTCTGCTATGACCTGGGAAAGCAGTGAAAGATAGCCCAAGTTCTTGAGCCCCTGCACATGCATGAGAGACCTAGAAGAAGCTCCAAGCTCTGATTGACTTCTGATTGGCCTGGTCCCAGCCATTGTGGCCATTTGGGAAGTGAACCAGCAGATGGAAGATACCTCTCTCTCTCTCTCTGCCTCTAACTCTGCCTCTCTGTAACTCTGCCTTTCAAATAAATTAATTAATTAAAAAAAAGTTCTGACTTGCTCTCCTTACAACTTTTCTGTTGTAGAAGGGTTCATGAACCAGCGTGGAGCCCGGGTGCCATCTCCCATTCTCATCATTTCCTATGAAACCTTCCGCCTTCATGTTGGAGTCCTCCAGAAAGGAAGTGTTGGACTAGTCATCTGTGACGAGGTACTTGATTGTCAACAGCCTATGTTACAGAAGAGAATCTGTCCATCTCTCCACTGAGCACCACACCCAAGGCCTGGTCAGAGGATGCTGCCTTGGAAGGGACGAGTGGCAGGGAGAGCCTGTGAAACCAGGCTGAAACACCGTGAAATGCTGAAAGGAGGATTAAACGGTGTTTCAGACTCTTGAGGAGACTGAGGTGCTGGGGCTGATATTATTGTCACCTCCAGATAGCATTCCTAGATGAAGGAAGGACCTCGAAAGATAATTGGGATTTGGATGGGTGGAGTGACATGCTCCAGTTTAGGGGTAAACGATTTTAGAGTCAGAATCTTTTATTCAGATCATGCCTGTGTATTCACCAGTAGTTGACCTTGGACAAGTTACTTAACCACCTGAGCCTGTGGTTCTGCATCTGAAAAATGTGGTGATAATATCTGTCTCACATGATTATTTTAGAGATGAAATGCAGTGATGGGAAAAGCTCTTATCACAGAGCCTGCTGCCATAAGACCTTGATAAATGCAGCTCTACTTTTTAATTAAATTTTTTTAAGATGCTTTTATTTATTTTATTTTAAAGTTTTATTTATTTGAAAGGTAGGGGAATGGGGCTGGTGTTGTGGCATAGCAGGTTTAGCTGCTGCCTGCAATGCTGGCATCCCAGATGGGCACTGGTTCAAGTCAGCTGCTCCACTTCAAACCAGCTTCCTGATAAAGTGTCTCGGAAAATAGTGGATGATGGCCCAAGTCCTTGGGCCTCTGCATCCATGTGGAAGACCCAGAAGAAGCTCCTGGCTTCAGCCTGGCCCAGCCCTGGCTGTTGTAGCCATTTGGGTATGAACAGCAGATGGAAGATTCTCTCTCTCTCTTTCTCTTTCTTTCTGTCTCAGTCTTTCAAATAAATAATTCTAGAAAAGTAGGGAAACAGAGATAGATATAGAGACAGAGGTATCTTCTGCTCCTGATTGACTGTCCAAATGCCTGCAACAGCAGGGCTGGGTGAAGCCAAAGCCAGAAGCTTAGAAATCAGTCTGGGTCTCCAGCCTGGGTGGCAGAGACCCAAGTAGTTGAGCCTTCATCTGCTGCTTCACAGGTCTGCAGTAGCAGGAAGCTGGATTTGAAATTGAGTAAGAACTTGAACCCAGGCACTTTGATGTGATATGTGGGTGTACCAACTGTTGTTTTAACCACTGTGCCACAGTGCTCACCCATTCATTTTTATTTGGAAGTCAGAGACAGGAGATCTTAAATCCACTGTTTCATTCCACATATGCCCATGAAGCCAGGAGCCTGGAACTCAGTCTAGTCTCCCACTTGGGTGGCAGGGACCCAAGTTCTTAGGTTTTCATCCTAGGCACTCTGATATGGGGTATGTGTGTTCCAAGTGGCATCTTATCCCAGTGTACCAAACACACCTGTCCCTCCAGCTCTGGTTTTTATTCTGGGCTGATGTGGACAGAAGCACAGGGATAAGAAAGTCCCCTGTGAATGGGCCAACCACCCACCTTATAGTAATTTGTTCTGAGACTAAGAATATCTGGCAGTAATTATGCCTGACCTTCTCCAGTTTGCACAAATGGTGGTAGAGATGTTAGTATGTGGAGAGTAGTGAAGGTGGCTGGGAACTTCTGACTGTAGAAAAATTTTTCAGATGCCTGTGGGGTTGGCAACCCTGAGGCTGCTGCCATTATTTGCACATCTTGGGGAAGGTTAAGGTCACTTTGCTGTAGTAGAGAGGAAGCTGAAGTCCTTGACCCCTTCTGTCAGCTGCTTGGTATGCTTTGGGGACAGTGGATTAGATCAGTATCTGTGGAAGTTCAGAAAGGGGACAGAGAAAGCTTACTTTGGGGGAGATTTTTTTTTTAAAGATTGATTGATTTGGGACGGTGCCATGGCTCAATAGGCTAATCCTCTGCCTGTGGCGCCGGTACCCTGGGTTCTAGTCCTGGTTGGGGCACTGGATTCTGTCCCTGTTGCTCCTCTTCCAGTCCAGCTCTCTACTGTGGCCCGGGAGTGCAGTGGAGGATGGCCCAAGTGCTTGGGCGCCTGCACCCGCATGGGAGACAAGGAGAAGCACCTGGCTCCTGGCTTCAGATCAGCACAGTGCGCCGGCTGCAGCATACCTGCTGCAGCGGCCATTGGGGGGGTGAACCAATGGAAAAAGGAATACCTTTCTCTCTGTCTCCCTCTCTCTCTCTCTCACTGTACACTCTGCTTGTCAAAAAAAAAAAAAAAATATATATATATAGATAGATAGATAGATAGAGATTTATTGATTTAAAAGGCAGAATGACAAGCAGAGACAGAGATCTTCCATCTGCTGGCTTATTCCCCAAATGGCTGCAACAGCTGGGGCTGGGCTAGGTTGAAGTCAGGAGCTAGGAACTATATCCAGGTCTCCCATGTGGGTGGCAGGGGCCCAAGCACTTGAGCCATCATCTGGTGCCTCTCAGATGCATTAGCAGGAAGCTGGATTGGAAGCATAGTAGCTAGGGCTTGAACTACTACTCTGATATGGGATCCGGGCATCCAGAGCAGCAGCTTAACCCACTTTGCCACAGTGCCCCGGGTAGTATGTTCGCTAGTTGTGAGCTGTTTCCTGTTTCTTTCTTTCTTTTTTTTTTTTTTTTTTTTTTGACAGAGTGGACAGAGAGAGAGAGACAGAGAGAAAGGTCTTAGCCTATTGAGCCACGGCACCGGCCTCGTTTTTGTTCTTGTGAAACGTCAGCCATTGTCTGGCATGTCTGTAGACTCCTGGTACTCTGATGGGCTGTTCCTGTCCATAGGAATAAGGCATTTAGCAGGTTGAGGTGTGCTCTGTGCTGGGGCCCTGGCATCTGCTTCATCACCATGGAGGGATACTGTGCCAGAAACCTGGTCCAGAGACCAGAGAATTATGGGAGATGAAGGCAGACTGTAGCTTTTGAACCCTTGAGCATCCATGTTTCTTCCTTCTCATTCTGTCTAGTCTATGAGCTGAATCTGCCGCACACAAGGAACCAGGGCACGCTGCACCCCCTGGCCCTCCCTTCTCATTGACCTTTTGTCAGGTGCTATCTAGGCTTTCCTGTTCCCCACATCCACAGCAGTGACCTCTCAGCTGAAGCCTTTCTCTGGAACACTGGGTTTTTCGTAAAAACTCTTTACTAGTAAAGTCTGATCTCCAGTCGGAAGGCATGGGATCAGCCTTGGCTTTGCTACTTACAGGCATGACTTTCAGCAGATGAGTCTGTTCTGACTCAGTTTCTTTGCCTCTAGAGTGGATGGCATAAGGACTACTTGAAAGGGACACAGCCTGGATCAAGGAGAGGATGTGTGGAAGTATTTTGTGGCAAGTGTCTGAATGGGGAGATTGGCCTCCTCATCTCGGTGAGAGATGAGGAACCCGAGGCTCCAGAAAGGGCAGTGACTTGCGCACCATTGACCCCAAGAGTACAGAGTGAGCTGGAACTTGGACTCAGATCTTAGATTTAAAGCTGTGGCTCTCTTTCCTGTCCCTTACTGCATGGGATGCAGTCTAGAACATGGTATAACATGAAGCTTGGGGGCTGACCTTGTGGCACAGTCGGTTAAGCCATTGCCTGCAACACGGGCAACCTATATGGATACCGGTTCAAATCCTGGCTGCTCCACTTTTTTTAAAAAAGAATAATCAGAACTGTCAGAAATTCAGCAACTTATAAATAGCAGTTATTATTAAAACATTTCATCTGACTACATATTTGATTTTCTGAGATGACAGAGTTTGGACAATAGTGGCAAAGGCTGAGTCTGGAATCTTTGTGCCTGCTCCCGTAGGGAGCTGGTTTTTGTTTTCTTTCTGCAGAGACGCACGAGGGTGGTTTGGCAGTTCGTTCGTTCACTGAGTCATTGGTTAAGTGTCTGTGTGGTGTCAGGCACTGGGGTTCCATGATGCCTTCCCTCAGGGAATGTCAGTTTAGTAGGTAATTTCCTCAAAAGTTTCCGTCTTCAGCTCAGAATTTCACTCTTCTATTATAAGGCTTGTCCTGGATACCTCTAGTGATTTTTTTTTTAATAATTATAGAGTAATATGCAAATAGACAAAGAGAGCATTTGCCTTTCATTTGTTAGTTTATTCTCTAAATACCTGCAATAGCCCCCAGCTGGGGCTGAAGCGTGGATCCAGGAACTCAGTCTAGGTTTCTTACGTGGGTGGCAGGTACTTTTCTACTTGAGTCATCATTACTGCCTCTTAGGGTTTCTGGTAGCATGAAGCTGGAATCAGGAGCAGAACTGGGGGACCAGTGTAGCAGGTAAAGCCACCATTTGGGCACTGGTTCCTGTCCTGACTGCTGTATTTCTTATCTAGCTCCTTGCTAATGGCCTGGGAAAAGCAGCAGAGGGTGGCCCGAGTGTTTGGGCCCCTGCCATCCATGTGAGAGTCCTGGAAGAACTTGCTCCTGGCTTTGGCCTGGCTCAGCCCTGACCATTACAACCATCTGGGGAGTGAACCAGTGGTTGGAAGATAGATCGATCTCTCTCTCTCTTTCCCTCCCCCCCCGCCCCCCGCTTCTCTGTAACTCTGACTTTGAAATAAATAAATCTTAAAAAAAAGACCCAAGCTAGATATTGAACCCAGATGCAATATGGGATGTGGATGTCTCAATTGGTGTCTTAATCACTAGGCTAAATGCCTGCCCCTTCAGTAATTTTTTGTCCAGTGTAGTGAAACTATGAAGGTGAATCTGACAGTCTTGCTTTAAGAAGTTCATACCTCTTTGAGAAGATAAAATACAGTGGAATGTGATTAGCACACTAGCATTTTTGAAGGTACTTGAAAAAGTTTGTGGCAAATGGAATTAAAAGATAATTTTATTTTGGTATAGAAAAAGGTTTTAAATTTTTTTAAAGATTGATTTATTTGAAAGAGTTGCAGAGAGAGGGAGAGACAGAGAAAGAGATCTTCCATCTGCTGGTTCACTGCTCAGATGGTTGCAGTAGCCCATACTGGTCTAGGCTAGAGCCGGGAGCTTCATCTGGGTCTCCCATATGGGTGGCAGCAACTCAGACACTTGGACCATTTTCTGCTGCTTTTCCCAGGCAATTAGCAGAGAGCTGGATTGGAAGTGGAGCAGCTGGGACTCAACCAGTGGCTATATGGGATGCCAGTGTCTCAGGTAGCAGCTTAACCCTCTGAGCTACAGGCTGGCCCCAATTTTTTTTTAAGTTATTTTATTTATTTATTTATTTGAGAGGTAGAGTTATAGACAGAGAGGGAGAGACAGAGAGAAAAGTCTTCCTTCCACTAGTTCTCTCCCCGAGATGGCCACAATGACCAGAGCTGAGCCAAGGAGCCAGGTGCTTCTTCCTGGTTCTTCCACATGGCTGCAGGGGCCCACGCACTTGGGCCATCTTCCACTGCTTTCCCAGGCCATAAGCAGAGAGCTGGAATGGAAGAGGAGCTGCTGGAACATGAACCTGAGCCCAGATGGGATGTTGGCGCTGCAGGCGGAGGCTTAACCTGCTATGCCCCAGCACCAGCGGCCCCAATGTTTTGAAATCTGTGTATGGGGAAGCTTCAAAAAGTTCATGAGTATCTGTATCAAGTGAAAACTATTCATGGATTTCAAATTATTTGTACCAAAATAAACTTACTTTTCATTCTATTTTCCATGAACTTCTTTAGGTACCCTCATACAGCAGTGAATGAATGGCATAGTAGTGTAGTGCCCAGACTTTCGAAGTCAGGCAGCCCTGAGTTCCAACCTCGGCTATGCTATTGTCCACCAGCCTGATTTTGGAAAGTGCTTCTCTCTCTGAATCTGTTTCTTCCTTTCTGAAATGGGCATTGTAATTTCTACTTGTGGATTACACAAGACAGTGTAGGTAAATTGCTTGGTAGAGTGTGTGGCACATCAAAGTGTTTACTAAATGGTGGCAGCCATTGTGTCCATAGTGCCATAGAGGTAAAAGGGTGAGAGAGACCAATAGCTTAAGAGTCACTGAGGAAGGCTTTGCAGAAGAGGTGACATTAGAGGAATTTGCCTGTGGAAGAGGCTATAGGCAGAGGAGTGGTATGGCCAGGGAGACATAAGGAGTGGTGAGGTGCAGCTCAACTCACAATAGCTAAGATACGGAATCAACCCAAATGCCTGTCAACTGAAAACTGGATAAAGTGTGGGATATGTACACCATGGAATACCACAAGTGGTTAAAAAAAAAAAATCTGTCATTTGTAACACCATGGATGCAACTAGAAAACATTATACTTAGTGAAATAAGCCAGTCTCAAAAGGATAAATACCATAAGTTCTCCCTGATCTATGTTAACTAATAGAGCACCTAAAAGGTAATCTATAGGGGCCATTGCTGTGGTGTAGCAGGTCAAGCCGCCGCCTGTAGTGCCAGCATCCCATATGGGCGCTGTTTCGAGTCCTGGCTGCTCCACTTCCAATCCAGCTCTTTGCTATGGCCTGAGAGAGCAATAGAAGATGGCCCAAGTCCTTGGACCCCTGCACCTTAACAGGAAACCCAGAAGAACCTCCTGGCTCCTGGCTTCAGATTGGCACAGCTCTGGTCATTGTAGCCATCTAGGGGGTAAACCAGCGGATGGAAGACCTCACTCTCTCTGCCTCCCCTTCTCTCTCTGTGTGTAATTCTGACTTTTAAATAAAGAAAGAAATTTTTTACAAAAAAGTAATATATAGAAGTTAAATTGATACTTTGAGATGCAATGACTTTGAACAGGCTTTGTCTTGACTGTTGAGGAACAGGTTTGTTTTTTTTTTTCCATACTATTTGTTGAACTCTTTACCTACTATAGGGCTAATCTTATGTGTATAAAGTTAATTGAAATAGATCTTAATAAAAAATAAGAATGGGAATAGGAGAGGGGGGAAGAAGGAGGGTGGGAGTGTGAGTAGGGTGGGAAGAATCACTGTGTTCCTAAAGTTGTTTATATGAAATATATGAAGCTTGTATACCTAAAATAAAAGGTTTCTGGGTAAAAAAACTAAAGTGAGGAGGTGAGACAACTTCCAGGACTAGGACGAAAGTATCAGGAAAGTTAGCTGGGACCTCATTGAGAAGGGCTTTGAGTGTAAGCTAATGAGCTTACTGAGCTTGGCCTCAATCCTGTAGATGGGAAGTCAGTGGAGATGCTGACCAGAGGGAGGGAGGCGATCTGTTTGTTCATTCTTTCGGTGGTGCTTGGGTCTTGTGTGCCTTCCTTGCTGTGGGGCTGAGCTGGGGGCTAAGTGTGGAAAAGGTGTAGGTGTGATTTTGCCTTTACAGTTCTTGGGGAAAGAGTGAAGATGGTAGGGTCTTTTTACCACTTTCTTGCAGAAGGCTTGAAGTTACACAGATGTATGGGAACATGGGGAAAAGAGAGAATAGCAATTGAGAAGTGAAGGGTGGCCAAAGGGAAGCTGTTTAGATTTGCTGGCTGTGTGGATTCTGGTGGTAGGAGGAGCCTGGACCAATTCCTTTTACCATTGATAGACCAGACAAGGAGACATCTGGCTCAGAATTTGAGCTGGTAAGGAGGGAGGGCTCCTGAAAGCATGGGTCTGTAGCTTGGTGACATGATCTTTGAAGAGAATGAGTGATCTGCCAAGGCTGTGAAAGTTGGGGCAGGTAAAGGGCTGAGGGAATAGAGGGAGTTCTTGATTTACAGAGGTAAGTGCTGGGCTGGAGACAGATCTGTCTCTTCCGCTGAATATTTCTTTCCAAGCAGGCAAGTGGACTCTCATACTGCCTCCTGCTGAGTTCCCAAGGCCCGAGGACCTATGTTTGTGACTCAGGTTTTCCTGTCTACACCAGAATTTGCTGTTATGTAGGGACGCTGTAGCCTGTGCTGAATGAGAATTAATTCTCTTGCAGGGACATAGACTCAAGAATTCCGAGAATCAGACTTATCAGGCCTTGGACAGCTTGAATACCAGGCGGCGGGTACTCATTTCTGGGACCCCCATCCAGAACGATCTGCTTGAGTATTTCAGCTTGGTACATTTTGTTAACTCGGGCATCCTAGGTAAGATTCTAGCCTTGTCTGCAGGTTGGAGAGGAGCCTTGCCTTGTGTTAGGAGTGTAATTCCAGCTTAAGAGACAGTGCCAGTTGTGTGGAGGCCACTCTTGTTGGAAGTCTTCCTTGTCAGGGAGTAGCAGACCCACTGGGGAGGCTTTGACTCTGCTGAGCAACTCAGCAAGGCCCACTTTGACTACTTTTTTCCACTGTAGGGTCCAGGGGCCTATATAGGACATGGTGTCAATATGAGATCGCGGTGGAAATATACCTCTGCACAGTTTTTCTCCTCACATCCTAGCTCCTTTATAAGAGCTTTGCCTTCAGATCAGACTTGTGCAGTAGTTGATTTTTTAAATCATTTTCAAGTTAGTAGTAGTAAGTATAGTCATATTGTTGTGTAACCATTAGTGTTAGCAGTCTTCCAGGCATATTAGTAGGGAGCTGGATCTGAAGTGAAGCACCTAGGACTTGAACCGGCATCCACCGGTGGTTCACTCCCCAAATGGTCGCAACAGCTGTGGCTGGACCATACTGAAGCCAATAGCCAGGAACTCAATGTGGGCCTCCCATGTTGGTGGCAGGATCCCATCTTCTGCTGCTTTCCCAGGCACATTAGCAGGGAGCTTGATTGGTAGCAGAACAGCCAGGACTCAAAACAGGACTCAAAACAGCACTCATGAGATGCCAGTGTTGCAGGTGGTAGCTGGCGCGTTGCACCAGTCCAAAGCCAAGAGCCAGGTGCTTCCTCCTGGTCTCCCATGCAGGTGCAGGGCCCAAGCACTTGGGCCATCCTCCACTGCACTCCTGGGCCACAGCAGAGAGCTGGACTGGAAGAGGAGCAACCGGGACAGAATCTGGCGCCCCAACCGGGACTAGAACCTGGGGTGCCGGTGCCGCAGGCGGAGGATTAGCCAAGTGAGCTGCGGCGCCAGCCTGTATATGTAGATTTTAATCTACCCTCCCACTATTTGGTTTTATCAGCCATTACTGCTTTGTTATCTTTCTGATCCATTACTTAAAAAGTTGCTTATATTTTGTTCTGCTTTGTTTTTGGCAGCAAGGTTAGGCTGTGACAAGGTAGTCTGCCGTTAACTAGCACTGAGGAAATCATTCCTTTCCCGTATTCTTTAGTTTGTCCCCTCTATCCTGTGCAGGGACTGCCCAGGAATTCAAGAAGCATTTTGAACTGCCAATTTTGAAGAGTCGAGATGCAGCTGCCAGCGAGGCAGACAGGCAGCTAGGAGAAGAGCGACTGCGGGAGCTCACTGGTGTTGTGAATAGGTAATGACCCCAAGTGAAGTCATCACAGTTGCCTTCCAAGCCATCTGAGGCCAATCCGTTGGGGGTTAGGCTGTCTGGAGCCCTTACGGGCTGGGATTCTAGGTAGCAAGTAGGATCTATTCCCTGGCTGTGGCCACTGAATAAATGGAGTCTTGGGGGCCAGGTCGCTGATTTCTTTCTGGGCCTGGGCCCTGTGCTTTGGTTTTGGTCTGCTTCCTGCTGAGGGAGCTCTTCTCTGATGCTTCTAGGCTTACATTGTCCTCTGGAGCGTTACTAGACTTCACGAGCTTCCTGTCTGTCGGTCTCAAGCCTAAAGTGCCAGGCTTCCCTTCCCAGGCCCAGTAGAAATTCTGTGATGGGGATGGGTGTGGCTCCCAGGCTAAGAGGGCTTATTTTTCCATCAGATCACATAACCCAGGGAGCAGGTACATTCTGGAGTTTTTTGTGATAGACATGTACACTTGAGGTGTTATGCCCTAAAGAGTCTTCTTGCCCTTCCCAACTGCCTGGCTACTTCTTACCAATCTTAAATTTAAAAAAAAAATATTTATTTATTTTTATTTGAGAGACAGAGATTCTCTATTTACTGGTTCATTCCTTAAATGTCCACTAAGCCAGAAGTGGGCCCAGACAAAGCCAGTAGCTAAGGACTCTAAATGAGTTTTCCACTTGAGTAGTTTAAAGGGTCCAGATACTTAAGCCATCATCTGTTGCACTCCCCTCTCCCCCATGAGCAGTAGCAGGAAGCTGGAAGGGGAGCTGGGATTTGACCCATGTGCTTGGAGAGGGGCTGTGGATCTCCCAAGTGGCAGCAACTTAACTGCTGTACCAGAGGCCAGCCTTCTCTAGCAATTTTAGATGTTAGAAAAGAGAGTTAGTGTGTTCTTAGGAGCTCCTTCTTAGGTGCCTGATCTCTATCCTTTCTTACATTCCTCGTCTGCCCAGGAGTTATGGGCTTCATTTTGTTGAGCCTAGGGCCATGTGGCAGCAGGTATTTGGACAAATGCAAGAAGAAACTCCCCTTAAGGACTCAGTGGTTTGCTGCTTGCTTTCCTTGACACAACTCTAGGTGCAACAAGAGACTTCAGCCTTCTCTTGGAAGCTGTTGAAGAAGAGAAAGATTTGCCTGAGTAAGCTAGGCTGCTGTGAGGTGTCTGCCATGACAGACCGTGCTGTAGGACTGATGGGTTTCTGACATTTTATACGATGAAAGACAGCCAGTCTTAGTTTTGGTCTTTTGGGTGGTAGCTTTCTTTCTGGTGGTTAGCACAGCAGTTTTACTAGCTCCTTTTCTCTTTATCCTGTTTTCCCTAGGTGTTTGATACGGAGGACATCTGACATCCTTTCTAAATATCTGCCTGTGAAGATTGAGCAGGTGGTTTGTTGTAGGTACTGAACTCAACTGACGGGTGTGGAGTGAAGAGAGGAAAGCTTAGCCCCTGGAATGTGGCTGGGCTCACAGGGTATCCTCAGAGGGCAGAGATATGGTCCAGCTTTTCCCACTGACCCAGGTGCTTTTTTTTTTTTCAGGCTGACACCCCTTCAGACAGAGTTATACAAGAGGTTTCTGAGACAGGCCAAACCAGCAGAAGAGTTGCATGAGGGCAAGATGAGTGTGTCCTCCCTTTCTTCTATCACCTCACTAAAGAAGCTTTGTAATCGTGAGTTGGGCCTGTGCCCCAGTGTCCTCTGTGAGAATGGGCAAGGGAGGATTTGCTCCTGTGGGTAGCCCAGTGACCTTCGTTAATGCTTGTCTATAGAGTCTTCATGGAAGCCATGTGAGATTCCAACCCTCCCAAGGCATGAACCCTGTATTGTGGACTCTGTAAACTAGACTGTTTGCTTTGGAAAATTTGACATAACCTCTGTACAACATATGCTTGTGCTTGGGATACATAGAACTGTATGTGAGAGCGCTTGCACACACATGTCCTCATGTGAAATGTTGCCCTCTCTCAGGTAGCTCCCTTACTGTTGGGAGAACATACTAATGAGTAAACTTGTCCATCCATGGTCCCAAATGGCACTGAGAGCACACTGTTGGAATTTAGGAGGATGAAGACAAAGCGACTTTGGTGCTGAGGAAGGGCTTTTGGGTTACAGAAGGAGTTCTAGTGAGCACTTCAGGGGAAGCTGGGGAGCAAAGTTGCTGCCACTTTGGTTTTTCAGATCCAGCTCTAATCTATGACAAGTGTGTGGAAGAGGAGGATGGCTTTGAGGGTGCCTTGGACATCTTTCCCCCTGGTTATAACTCTAAGGCCATAGAGCCACAGCTTTCAGGTAAGCCGTTTCCCACCAGTATTTGGACTCCTCCAGGAGGAGAAGTGGATGGGCAGTTGTCTAGAGTTAACCTGTCTCAAGGCAGGGTATGAAGAGTAAGATTCCTGGACCACTGGGATGGCTGCTTGAGGAACTGATGGTTCCTGCTCTTCCCAGGCAAGATGCTAGTCCTGGATTACATTCTGGCAGTGACCCGAAGCCGCAGCAGTGACAAAGTCGTGCTGGTGTCCAATTACACCCAGACGTTGGACCTCTTTGAGAAACTCTGTCGAGCTAGAAGGTAGGGAATAACTTATACCAAGATGCTAAAGGGATGTTTTGATTGAAGCGTGTGGACCAAGATGAGGGTACGTGAAGGGTTTCCCTGAAGGTGTCTGTGACCTTAATGCTGTGATGGCCCAAGCTCCATCTCTAAGCATAATATCCCCTGTCCTTCAGGTACTCCCCCAACACATTCCTGTCCTTTAGCTCCCTCTGCCTGTTCTTGTGAGTCTAGGGCCTTGGGCTGTGCATGAGCAGCCTCAGACACAGTGAAGGCATTCAGTACCTGACTCCAAGAGGCCCTGCTTTCTTCTTGGGTCTTGATCTCTGGATCCGTCCCTTCAGGTACTTGTATGTGCGCCTGGATGGCACGATGTCCATTAAGAAGCGGGCCAAGGTTGTGGAACGCTTCAATAGTCCAACGGTAAATGCACAGCCCTTGTCCCATACTACTTACACAGTAACGTCAGAATTAAGGGTTGCTAAGGAAGCTCTAGAGGGCTCTCTGCTTCAGATTCTCCCTGACCTTTTTTTTTTTTTTCCTTTGGTGGGGGTGGTAGAGTTAGGCTATTGGTGTCTGGCCTGGAAACTAACTTAGTGACTTGGGAGATTGGCTGGTGGGCAAACTGGTGGATCTTACTGTTAGTTTGAGGGTATTGAGGTCTGAGAGAGAAGCATTGGCTAAGTTGGGTCAGGATGTCAGTTTAGGCTAAAAGAGATTCCTTTTTCCCCTGTTTTCTCTCTTTCCAGAGCCCTGACTTCGTCTTTATGCTGAGCAGCAAAGCTGGGGGCTGTGGCCTCAATCTCATTGGGGCTAACCGGCTGGTCATGTTTGATCCTGACTGGAACCCAGCCAATGACGAACAAGCCATGGCCCGGGTTTGGCGTGATGGTCAAAAGAAAACCTGCTACATCTACCGTCTGCTGTCCGTAAGGATGGTGGTGGTGGTGGTCAGAGTGGGGGGTGGGGCTGTGGAGCGATGCTCCTCAGTGCCCCTCTTTAGCTGCTTTGCCTCAAGCGCACAGTAGCCCACAGTAGTCCGTCAAGCACTTTCTTCTTCTGTTTTTCCTCTGCTTCTCTGGAAACCTTTTGTACCACGCCCTCTGGAGCTTTATTCAGTGCATCTTTCTCTTGGAGCACCTGCTTTCTTTTCATAGCCAATTTTCTACTGTGTTACCTGCCTTATCGTCTTCTCACCCCCCACACGCCATGGGGCTGAGAAGCGGCACTGGCCAGTCTCCAAGCTCTCAGTGACCACTTTCAGACCTCTGTCCCATAGCTGCCTTTTGCAGCTTGTGATTTCTGACTTGACTACCCACTTTTCCTCCTTGTTGCAGCCCTGTGTTCCTGATTGATCAGTGACTTCGGATGTCAACTCAATTGTCATTCATTTCCCAGATCCACCTCTCATTCTGGCTAACCTTGAAGACTATAGTTTTTCTTCACTCTGGCCTTCATATTTTCTTGACCTTTTCTTTAAGGACAACTCCCTTTTATCTGATTATGCCTAAGGACACAGTGGAGTGTGTTAGTTCTCAGAAATAATAGCTGTCATTCTGCTCTCACTTCCTGTCCTAGTGTTCACATCCATTGTCGCTCCTTTAATCTCATATCTCTAGAGCATCTCCCAGTCCCTTTCCCTCCCCACCCCAATCTGGATTGGCTTGCTTAACTATCCTTATCCTCACTGTGTGTTCTTTCCCAATACCCATGCCACTCTGATCTTTCAACTGTTCTTATCTTTTCCACCAGCTCATTTTGCATTTATAGATTGGTACTACTGCAAAATCATGTTCTCCTTTCTGAGCTGGGCCATATCTCATTTCCATCAATAACCACTTCAAGCTTCACTTCCCTCAGGTTCCCCCAGCCCTGTCTCTCATCCTTTCTGCAGAGATTTTTTTTCTTTTCCTTCTAGACATAATGGTGGCTACTGACAAGAGTTCTCTCACCCTCCTGTCTCGCTCCGTAAAATCACTACTTCATCTCTTTCCTAGGTTCTTCCCAGCTCTTTCCATCCTTTCCCTTTTTTATTTGATCAACTTATCCTTTATTGTTCTGAAGTCTAAACATTCTCAAGTAGCTTTTACCTTGAAAACAAAAACGATTTTTCAACTTTTCGTTCTATTCTAATGACTGCTTTGGGTTACTATCCATTCGTATGCTGTCAGATTTTTCCAAACATAGATTTTCTTCACTTCTGCTTCTCACTCATCAGAGTCCTTTTTACTTTTTCTGTATCTAATATTGTTGACTACTAATCCCCTCTAAAATTTTTTATCTTGTCTTTAGAAACTCCACAGATTCTCTTCGGATTACAGTCATGTTGACAAATATTTAAAGAGGGAAAGGCAGAGAAAGAGATTTTCTATTCAATGGTTCACTCCCCAGGTAGCCACAATGGCCAGTGCTGGGTCAGGCCAAAGCCTGAAACCAGGAACTTCATCTGGGTCTCCCACATGAGTGGCAGAGCCCTAAACACTTGGGCCATCTTTCACTGCTTTTCCCAGACCATTAGTGTGAAGCTGGGTCAGAAGTAGAGCAGCTGGGAAAAAACCAGCACCCATATGGTATGCTGGCACTGCAGGCAGTGGTTCTACCTGCTATGCCACAACGCTGACCCTGGCAAATATTTAAATTTTAATACAGTTCTTTTACTTGAGCTCTAGGTCCATATTCCCATCGTTTCTGTTTCCATTTATATTTTGCCTTGAGCACTTTATAACTAAACTTATTCTCATTCTGAATCCCATCATTTAATGGCTCTGTTATTGACCCAGCCTCAACCTGAGCGTCATCCTACCGGACTATTCTGTTTCCTAAGAGCTAGATTCCTACCCGAGTATCACTGATTGTACCTTTTTGAAATTTTCTTGATCTAACTTTCCTCTCCATTCCTTGCTAAGACTGTACTCAGTCTCACTTGAAGAATATTGTAGCAGCTTGCTGTTTTGTTACCCTTTGTCTTACTCTTACCCATTCTTCACATATGAGGATCTTCATTAAGTTCATGGAAAATGTGCATTATGAAAAAAAAGAGTGTGAATTTCAATGTTTTTTGTACCAAAACTAATTTTTAATTCATTTTCCATGAACTTTTTTTTTTTTTGACAGGCAGAGTAGACAGTGAGAGAGAGAGAGAAAGGTCTTCCTTTACCGTTGGTTTACCCTCCAATGGCTGCCACGGCTGGCGCACCACACTGATCCAATGGCAGGAGCCAGGTACTTATCCTGGTCTCCCATGGGGTACAGGGCCCAAGGACTTGGGCCATCCTCCACTGCACTCCCTGGCCACAGCAGAGAGCTGGCCTGGAAGAGGGGCAACCGGGACAGAATCCGGCGCCCCAACCGGGACTAGAACCCGGTGTGCCGGTGCCGCTAGGTGGAGGATTAGCCTAGTGAGCCGCGGCGCCAGCTTCCCATGAACTTTTAAAAAAAGATTCTTTATTTGAAAGGCAGCATGGGAGGGAAAGCCAGAGTGGGAGTGAGGGGGCAGCTTCCATCTGCTGGTTCACTCCATAAATGCCTGCAGTAGCTCGGAAGCCTGAAACTCCCTATGGGTCCCCAACACGGGTGGTATTTGGCCCATCATCCACTGCTTCTTCACATTAGCAGGAAGCTGGTTTGGAAGCAGAGTAGCTGGCACTCAAAGTGTCTCCTATATGGGATGCAGGCATCCTAAGTTGTGGCTTAACCTGCTGTGCCACAGTGCCTACTCCTGTGTGAACTTTGGGGAAGTACCTTGTACTGCTTCTGGAATGGGCTTTCCAATTTTTTTTTTCTTTTCATCACTTCCAGGACAAGATCAAGCCCTTCGGCCTGGAAGCTGAGATTCTTCAGATGGCCAGTCTTAGCTCTTAGTACATTCTGGTTGCCCTGAACTCCTCACAGTCCTCTAATAGGCCAGGCTTGTTCCTTTGTTCCTATGCTGGGAATGCCTTCCCTTCTCTCTTCCCTTGCAGTCCATTTAGTCATTATTCAAGATTCAACTGATAAAAATCCTTTAGGTTCAAGCTTTTCAGTACTTCTGTCATCCCACTTGTTGGCATCTTGTGCAGATTTCTATGACTACCAGTTTGTATGTCTGTCTTTCCCACTGCACCATGAACTCAAGGACAGGGATCATATTTTATTCTTTGGAATCTAATGTTAGTGCAATGCCTGGCAGAAAAATAGGTTCCCAAGTGATTGTTTCTTGAGTGACTAGGAGTCAGACTTGGTGCAGAAGTCTGAAGCTATCGCAGGCAAACCTCAGTTTACCTGCTGAAGGGATTTAGGCAGGCCCTGAGTTCCTTCATTGGTACAGAAAATAGCCTGGGTGGGCAGATATGCCCAAGTATTACTTCAGGACTCACTTTTCATCCATCGCCCCCTTCTGGGTGGCAACCGTGTGAGACCCTGGCTTTCCCTGCTCCCTCTCCGTGCGGATGACTGAGCCCTCCACCCTCCCAGGCAGGAACCATTGAGGAGAAGATCTTCCAGCGTCAGAGCCACAAGAAGGCACTCAGCAGCTGTGTGGTGGACGAGGAGCAGGATGTCGAGCGGCACTTCTCCCTGGGCGAGTTGAAGGAGCTCTTTACCCTGGAGGAGGCTAGCCTCAGTGACACGCACGACAAGTGGGTGCAGTGCCTCGGCCATCACCTCTCATTCCCTGCACAGCATGCAGATGGGACCTGCAGTGACCACAGCTCTATGTTCTGTCCCCAGGCTGCACTGCCGCCGTTGTGTCAATAGCCGCCAGGTCTGGCCACCCCCTGATGGTTCTGACTGCACTTCAGACCTGGCTCAGTGGAACCACAGCACTGATAAACGGGGGCTCCAGGATGAGGTACTCCAGGCTGCCTGGGATGCTGCCTCCACGGCCATCAGCTTCGTCTTCCACCAGCGTTCCCACGAGGAGCAGCGGGGTGTCCACTGATAAGCTGCTGGTTTGGATCTAGCTAGCTGTTTGAGGAAAGGGACAGGGGAATTGGTTCTGCCCCACAGGGCCCTGCCGAATTTTGTTCTCTGAGAGAAAACCATGGAGAAAGGGGTACATGATGTTTGCCCAAAATTTATTTTATAAGAAAAACTTTTGGTTAAAAAAAAGAAAGGAATAAAGGTATGAAAGGGACCGAGGCCTGGGAGCAGTGTGGTGAGCCCAGCAGGGGAAGAGGCCTGGTGGTGGGCACTCCTACATTTCTCTAAAGCCTGGGACCTGCTTGAGGGGAGGCAGGAACCCCGGGGCAGGGGAAGAGACTGTCCTCAGTGACTGATGACCACTGTGACCTCCTGGCCTGGGGTTCCCGGGGTGCTGAGTACGGGGCCCAAAGGCTCTACACTCAGCTGTGGACATGCCTTTGCTGGGCTCCATCCAGGCCTCCAGGACCTCAGTACAAGGGGAGATGGAAAACAGAGGAAAAAGGCGGCAGAAAGAGAAAGACAGAATTGGTGGTTGGGGATTCTGGGCAGCCCATGGCTCAGCCCCTGCAAGCTGATGGTACTGAGCATGGGCCTGTGAGGTACGGGCCCCCATCACATGGTGCTGACATAATCTGCGAAGGCCTGGGATGAGTCCCACGAGTCGCTGACCACATGACAGGTGGCCCGGAGCCGCCGGATGGCTTCCCTGGCTGTGACTGCATCCTGGTCCAACCAGTTCTGGAAGAGGCGCAGGTGACCAAAGGCTCCACGGCCCCAGCGCTCCAGCCGCTTGGCAAACTCGAGAAGCCCATCTGGCTTGATGCAGTTGGAACTGGTAGGGGTAAGATGGATCAGTATCCAGGAAGCAACTAATCCCTGGTCTCTATCCCTGTAGCTCCATCCCTTGTCCCCCGTCCCCCCCCCGCCCATGTACCTGATGTCCAGCTGACAGAGAGAGGAGGATGAGTCCTCTGAGAAAACATCTGCCAGGGCCAGAAGGCCAGCATTTCCTGGAGAGAAGAGGAGAAGCGCCCATCACCTCTAGCCAAGAACAGGAAACAAGGGTATCCCAACCCCACTCAGGCTGAGGAGACCCTAGTCCTGCCAGTTCCTGAAGCCCCAGCACACAGATACTTCTATTCCAATCCCCATGTTCCTGGTGGAGGTCTGTGTCCTCACCCAGTAAGTTCCCAGGTCAAAGGCCTGGCTCCTTCCCCTCTCCCTCCCCAGGGCCCGGCCCCCACCCAGGCGGTTCCCTGGCAGCCGAAGGCCCTTCAGTGTGGAGTTGCCCTTCATAGCAGCAACCATCTCAGGCAGAAATTGTGCTGGGCGCTTCTCAAACAGACGGCAGAAGGAGAAGGTAATCTCTGTCAAGAGAAATCAGAGTAAGTTCTGATGGCTGTGTTAAAACTGCTGCCACCCTTCCTGCTCCAGTTGGCCCTGTTGAGGCATTGTGAACATTTTAGAGAAGTAATCTGTCCAAGATCCCACACTAGGCTGGAACTAATCAGGACCCAAATCAGAGATGAGCCTGAATGGTCAGTGTGAGCAGGTGCTCCTGACGGACAAGTCTCCGTTCACTTGCTGCTTTGCCCCCTCCATGACACACTATACATAGGTGGGGATCAGAGGCAGATTTCTATCTGGCACAGTGCGTTTATTTCTCCCCCTCCCCTGCTTCTGTCAGCCTCTGAAAGGTAAGAAAGCTTTTAGTGAGGCATTGTAAAAGTAATTTCCCATGTTTAAATTGCGTTTGGGACTTTGAGAAGGAAGGTCAGATTTCTATATTTTGTAGTTGAGGTCACAAGGCCAAGAAATAAACTGCTTTTGCCCTCTCTTGAAGACAACAGAGTCACAATGAAGACCCAAGAAAGCCTGGGTTCTGAGGACCTTACCTTGAAGAGTCAGATTCTGTAGCAAAAACAGCACCTCACCCTGACAGTCGGCCAGATTCATGTCATGGAAGCTCAGCCTCTTCAGGGCTAGGTTGTACTCTGGATCAGAGGGAGAGAGGCATGAGCCATGGCTTTCCTAGGTCTCCCCTACCCCCGCCTCCCTTCTGTCTGGGTCCTACCTTTGAGGGTCTGCAACACAAGCCCAAAATCCTGGGGTGAGGCAAAGGTGGCGCTGTCCAGGGACAGCTGCTGCAGAGAACCTGAGGCCTTCAGCACGGAGCAGAGCAGTGGAGCTGGCTGAGCTCCTCGTGGAAATCCCATCTCCAACTGCTCCAGGCAGTTTTCTGGATATGGTAAGAGAAGATTGCAGCTGGTCACTATCTCACTTCTGAAACAGGTCCCTTCCTGTCTAAGGGCACTACTAAAGAATGATGTGCATGTCTGTGAGCGTCTACCCTGCGTCAGCTGCTGTGTTAAGTTCTGAATAGAGCGCTAAAGCACTTGGCTGCTGCCCTCAAGCTTTTCAGGCCAGGGGCACTAGGCTATTCAAGAGTGTGAGGGATGACGGGGTAGAAGACAACAGCAACTAGGGCCATACAACAGGGAACCAAATCCAGTCTTGTGTTCTTGATTCAGACCTTTCTGAAGACTTTAGCTGCCCTAGTCCCTGTTGGGTTTATGGTGGTCTGGGCCCTGTCCTACCCAAGGTTATTGTAGTGTCAGGCCCAAAGCAGTAACAGATGCCAGACAAGCCAGCAACACGGTAGAAGACAGACTGGAGGTCCTCCGTTCCCCACACAAATGATCAGGCATGTTTGTGTGGAGGGTATGTACACACATGCACACACACACACACACATAGTGCTTCACCTGGTATCTCCTCATCCCCAATTATGTGGCTAGGGGGCCCAGCATTCCCTGGTACAGCAGGGTTCTCCCGCTGGCTGGGGTGGTCCACACGAATAGAGAGGACCCGCAGCAGGGGCAGGGCTCGCACAATGGCACGTGTCAGCTCCAGGATGGGCAGTGGTGAGAACAGGTCACTGAGATGCAGGGCCCGGAGGCGACATCCAGCCTGGCCTGACAAGGCCCTCAGGCTGTCCAGCAGGCGGAAGATGTTAGAACCCAGGCCTACGGCAGGAAAGAGATTAAGGCTCAGCAGGGGTGGCATTCAGAGACAACTCCAAATAGTTCTATTGATAATCACCAAATCTTTTTAGCACTGTTTGTCTGTCTACTCATCTGTGTCTTTTTCCTCAGTTAACTCAAACTGATTCCTGCTGTGCTGAGTCATGCCTGCAAGAAGCATCAGGGCAGAGTCACAAAACAGAAGACAGGATGTGGCAGGGCAACATGGCTACAAGCTGAATGACAAGCCCAGGTAGCTGCAGACGGCTGAACTCCTGGGTTCCTGAGCTGTTTTTCTGAAGAAGCTGGACCTTGAAGGGAAGAAATGTTGGCTAGAGAGAAAAGACAGTTACAGGTCACAGAAAATTGCAGGGCTTAAGTGGGAGGCTTGCTTGCCTAGATGGAGGCTCAGGAGACTGAGCCCTCAAGGGAAGGGCTGTGGACGCCATGTTGTAGAAGGTCCTGGAAGCCAGACAAGATATGGTTATGCTCTATTAGGGGCAACACCTGAGAATAGGAGAGGTGATGGCCCAATAGGGTGGAATAGGGCAGAATGCCAGAGTGGTGTATGATCTAGAGAGATCATAGCAACTGCTTAATGCACAAGCAATTTATGCCTTGGAACCCTTTGGTTCAATTCACTCCTATCAAGGTTTCTTGCTAGACCCTATGAGCAGAGTACTATGAAAGCACAAAGGCCCTAACACCTAGTCCAGGTTACATCAGCAAAGGCTGTCCAGCTGAGGGAGTCCTATAGAACATGAACAGTCTGAAGGAGACATGAGGGAAGGTGTCGTATACAGAGGTCTGGTGGAGGGAAAGGACGTCCCAAGAAAATACCACCACAGTCAAGAGAGAACACAAACGACCCGTGATTAGGATGTATGGTGACAGGGTCAGCTCTGCAGTGAAGACTGGGTTATATGGTGGCAGTACAGAGTCAGGAGGAACTCTGAAGTGATAGAGCCAAGTGAAAAATGGTAACCTGAGCTGGGAGTGTTGAGATAGAGGAGCAAGTTTGAGATAAAGAACTGACAGCCAAATTTGAGGGTACTTCAAAAAGTTCCTGGAAGGTAGTATGAAGGAAATGGTGGAGGTTCTAAATTTTTTCTCGACAAAAGAAACCTATCTTTTTAATAGCAACTTTCAACATTTTGAAGTTTCCTTATAAGTGTAGGATAAGAAAAAATGTGAGCACAAAGTTTCTTTGGGCAACTGAATCGACTGTGATGTTCCTCCTGAGAACAAACACAGGATGAGTGTAGAGAAGAAAGTGCATTCAGGTTGGGTGTGTTTGGGGAGCTTGTGGGTGATGTCTAATACCTGGACTCTTGAAGTTCAGGAGAGGGAGCTAGGCTAACTAGAACAGGATGTCTAGCATAGTTAGCCATGCAGATCACAGGCATGGATGCAACTGTCTAACAAGTGTGTGAAGTGGGAGCAGCTCTGAGGAACTCTGAACATTTTAAGACAACATACAGGGGCAGAAGTCAGAATTTTGAGGTAGTGGAAATGAATATTTCACAATGTAATGACTAAGAGCAGTAAGTGCTGCTGAGAGTTAAAAAGATGAATCAAGTAACAAAGAGAACCTGTTGGTGACCGAGTCTCTCAGCGTGTCAGCAGGGTAGAAGAGGCTGAAGTGGGCTGAGAAGTGGAGACACTACAGGTGACTCCTAACGTCTGTGAGGAGCCGGAGAGGAGTCAATACTGGAAAGAGGGAGAGGTGGTGGTGAATTTTGGTGAAGACCTGATTTAATGTTATATGTTAGTGGGAGAGAAACTGGAAGGAGGCATCATAAGAAATGGTTTAATAGGACTGATTCTGGAGTAAGGTTGCCTGTGTTTGATTCCTGTAGCTGACTAGCTAGGTTATCCCAGATAAGTTACCTGACCTCATAGGGTTGTCCTAAGGATTAAAGTAAATATCTTGTGAATATTTAAAAATGTAAGACATTAAGCAATATATGTGTCATTACTAAGGCATTTGAGGGATCAGCTTCCCTAAGATGGGAGGCGAGGTATGGACCAGACCACAAGTCAAAGAATTGGCCTTATATAAGATGCTCCCTTTCCATTGTGGTGAAGGAGGAAAGGACAAGTGCCAATGGAGGAGTATGTAGGCTGGCAACAGTTAAAGGAGCTCATGTGTAATGCCAGCTCAAGTAGGAGGTGAGCTCAGGAAGAGACAAGAGTTCGGGAGTGGCAGAATAGGAATGGGAGCTGATGCAAACATGGTGAGGGTTCTTATGACGGGGATGACCATGAATGTATAGCAGCAATATGCAGCCTAAGATCATCACCAGGTTTACCCAGGGTTGAAGTTTTGCTACCTGGGTGAAATGTGGGAAAGGACTGAGGACTGCCTTGCAGGTTGTTGGTTTGATAAATTGTGCCCCACACCTAGTTGCGTTGATGACAAGTGGAATCCAGCCACAACCCTGGCTGTGCCCTATGGTCTTCACAGTCCAGCTGACTCATCTCATTGCCCCTTAGGAACCCCTGCTCCCAAGACTGTATCAGTGCTATAGACCTCATGTAGCTCTCCTGGCACTGACATGCTGCCACTACTTTGTGGCATGTGCCTTTTGTTTCCTTATGAGGCACACAGGAGCCACACCTCCAGCTTCCGGGCCACAGTCCCAATGCCCTTTAGGATTAGGTATGCACCCGGTGCTACTAGGGGATCCAAGCCCAACCTCTGCCCCTCCAGGGTGCTCACCATTGTAGGAGAGAGTGAGGCTCTCCAGAGACACCCAGGAGCTCAGCAGGTGGCATAGTGTCAGAGCTGCCTCCGTGGAGAGCGGAACTGTGAATAGCTCCAAGGTGGAGATGCTGCGGAATCGTTGTGAGGCCTCTAGTGCTGGAAGCCCCAGGCAGCTGGGATCTGATCCATCCAAAGCTCCACAAGCCACTTCCCCAATCTCCATCTCCTCACCATCCTCCTTCTCACCAGCCACAATAAAAACAAAGTCATACAGGTCTTCAGACTCTGCACCTGACCCTTGGCGGGTGCGAGCACCCTTCTTCCCTGCAGCTCGCTTGAAACGCTTTAAGGGCTTGGGCTGCGGTGCCGAGCTGGCTGGAGCCCGTTTGGATGAAGATGTGGAAGAGGAGGCAGAGGCAGAGGAGGTGGCAGCTGGAGCAGTGGGTGGTCGCTTGGTGCCAGGAGCCTCGGAAGTGGCTGGAGGGTGCAGCTCCTTCTTAGGTTCTGTCCCGCCTGCTGTCAGGCTCTCCTGTGTGCTCCGGCGTGTTACTCTAGTGGCAGGTGCAGCTCTGAGCATCTGCTTGGCTTCACTCTTCCTTCGAGTGGCCATCAGGGCTGCAGCGCATCGCTCAGCAGCATCCCGGCGAGGCCGGCGGGAACCCAGCAAGAGGGAACCTTCCTCCCGGGATGGGGCCCGGCCTCGAGAGGCCTCTCCGCAGAGGCGACAGGGTGGCCCACCAGGGCCTGGCTGCCAGAAACCAGCACTCATGGTGAGGATAAGGATGAAAAGAGCGGACTCTGGCACAGGCCAGGAGTACAGCGACACTTGGCTGACAGCCCCATGGTGAATGAGCTGATGCAACAGCTGCCTGAGCGACTGCTGAGCCGCCACATCAGAGAACAGCAGGTGGCGGAACTTGAGGGTGTGCAAGGAACTGGCGAGGGTCTCCAGAACCCTACGGTTGGGCTCAGCCACCAGCTCGGTTGCACCCTGCAGCATGTTGCAGATGGTGAGCTGCCGGACATGGCGGGAGCTGTGCAGAAGAGGTGAGAATCGCTGGTCGCAAAGACGTCTGTCAGAAGACACATCGATGGTCCCACGCAAGACATGGGAGAAAAAGGCTTCCATAAACTTGGCTCGCCAACAGGTCACACTCTGAAAGCAGAGAACATGCCAGACAGCCATGACATTGAGAATAATATCCATGAGACACCTCAGTTTCCCCCCTTCCAATAGTAAGCTTATCACTGAGCCAGACATTCTAAAGAATTTATATAGATTCATACAGTCCTCACCATCTGTGAGATACGGTATTATTGGTAGCCCCATTTTACAGGTGAGAAAACAGGCACACAGGCTGATAAAAGCATTCTGTGTCATTTTGGCTTTATGGAATAGCATCCTTATCTGAGAAACCTGGTCTAATTTTTTTTCACTGCATGCAGAGCCACGTGTGAAACTATTTTTGATAGTTTCTCTAGCATGTTTCAGGAATCTTACTCTCAGTGCTCTTGAACTTCTCAATCCACTGAAATTGGGGTAAAAAAAAAAAAAAAAAAACCACCCTGAATTTGAAGGAAGAAAAAAGAACCAAAGCAGAAAGAGATTATTACTTATTACTTGTGTGTACACAGGTAAGCAGTAACCGAGATTTGAACCCAGGAACTCTGGTTCCAGAGAAATTTGGCTATATTACAACTAAAACAGTCACTCTTGTAAATTCTTAATTGTTTCTAGAATGTGATCCCAACTTGTCCTCTTTATTACCAACTTTGCTCAGCCTTAGGGCTCCACACCTCACCACTTCAGGTTGTTTTTGTTTTTGTTTTTCCTGATTGCTCTCCCTGTCCTCTTTTCCCCTTCTCAAACTACTTTGTACAAACACTGGATTCACCTTTATGGAACACTATTCTGCTTTAAGACACTCCATATTAATGTGAAGTCTAGTCAGTTACCTCTTCTTCAAAATGGCTGCTGCTTACCTGAGACTATTTCCCACATCTTGCTCATGTCAACGCTTTGCTGTGGCCAAGTCGGTCACTTCACTGACCCAAACCTCTCCTCTGTGTCCTTTCTATGTCCTCCAGAAATATTCTTTGCTGGGCTGAATGGCATCACTGGTGGCCATGTAATTCTTTCAGGCTGCTGGTTGGGACTGTCACTGTGATGCTGGAATACTGTCTCAGTGTTGAGTCTCTTTGCTGTGTATATGTTAATTATCCCAACCAGGTTAAAAATTCCTGGGGAACAGGAACCAAATTTTGGAACTCCAAATGCAAGTGATTTTCAATCTTTGCTGCATATCAGAATTTGTTGAGCTTTTTTTTAAGATATTCATAAGCCACATACTCAGACCTGGTGGTTCTGTAGGCTACATATGAGGTGAGGTTAAGGCATCCTTATTTTTTGAAACGTCCCCCAGATGATTCTGATGCACACCAGATATCAGGAAATATGGCTGCCAAGCTCAAAAAGGCACACTGAGGAAAGACAGTTCCCAGAATTTCTAACTGAAGACCTACCCTGAGCCATCTCCTGAAGTGAGGCAGAAAATCTGCTGACTGCGAAATAGGCCCTAGCTCTGCCACAATACTCTGGACCTCCCTGAACCTTTCCTCACATCAGTACCACCAACCGCTAACGGAGGGAGAGTACAAGTCAGAGTACTCTGTACACTGCAAAATACAGTGTTACTGCTGCTAGCACTGATCGGTGCGACTGGCAGTGTGCAATGGACTTGATAGAGGTTGAGTCGTAATCAGGTCGCTTATTGGCGGGAAGCAAAGGTAGTAGCAGGCTAATGTTCCCAAAGATTAAATACTTCTCTGTGGCCCTTACCCTACCTCCATACACTCTATCCCAGAGTCACTGTCAATCATACCTGAGGGTTTCACCAGGAGCTAGGCAGTTCCTGACCTCAGGCCCTAGCTATATTCCTAGGCTGCATGTTGAGATAATTCAGGAGTGACTTCAATTTGAACTTAACTGCATGGCAGTAACAGAGAAAGGTCTCATTCACGACTAGCAGGGTAAATTAGAACAGGAGAGATCTGTGGGACTCTGGGACGGTTATGGAGACTGCACTGGAATTGTTGCCATGTTCCTCTCAGCGGCTCCTCGGCCAAGAGCAAGTCAAAAACCATTCTGTTGAGAATGATAAGCCAAGTGGGGATGGGTTTCTCCAACACCAAGAAAAGCCGACTATGAGAGAAACTGATTCTTGCATTATGATCCAGTTGTGAACAAAAAAAAGTCCTCTTTGTGGAACAGAAAAAAAATACACTCACTCTAAATAATGGACTGAAAATGTATTTGATTTACCAATGAGAAGACTAAGGGCAGAATACTGATTCAGAAATCTTCAGTGTGTAATAAAAGAAGAGGAAATGGCACAGAAAAACAGGAGAGAAAAACATCTGGCAAGAAAATCTCCTCAGTTTTGAGTGAAGGCCAAGGGTATTGACATTTCAGATTTGCTGACCCACACTTATAGTCTTGGAAAAACTTTGGCAGGTAGCCCTAGCCAGGCTTCAGCTTCCCAAGTGAGGTAGTTGGATGCCTGCTACAAGAGCTGGACCTAAAACCTGGACAAAAACGTGAACCAAGATGTGGCTATTTGGGGCCTTAACAGACATGGCAGCAGGTGTAGGTTAGATGACTAAATACTGGGCTTTTCCAGATGTGTTAATGGTTAAATATTTGAAGATCAAACACCCCAAACGTGTGAAAACTGCTGTGAGGAACACGACATAGTGATCAGGAACATGCTCTCCAGAGCCATTCTGCTTCAACCTAAATCCTGGGTCTGCAGCTCACGAACTGCAACCTAAGGCAAATCATTTCACCTCTTTCTGCCTCACATTCATCACCTGAAAAGTGAGGGGCTAATTATATGAACATTTTAGGCTTGCTGAGGGTTAAATGAATATGTGAAGTTAGTTTTATCAGCTATCTCAATGGCTTTACATGAATTCATGAGCAGCAGCACTTCCACTGCCATTTCAGCCCACCACCACCTTTAGTGTCTTTGCTAATAAAATGTCAAAATTTAAAGGTATCTAGTCCAGGCTATTCATTTTGTGGACTTGTAGAAATGCAAGGTGACTTATAGTGAGGGCGAGAGAAATGAGGTGCTGCCAACAGGACGGGGTGGCTTTTGCCCACCACTACAATCCTTGCCCCATCCTCAACAGGCTGGAAGCTCAGACACTGGTAATGGAGGAAGAAGTGTATGCAATCTAGACAGGGTTCAGTATTTTCTTGTAGTAAGTTGTTGTTAGAGCCAGAAAATGTTCCCAAGCTATATATTGTTGGCTGTTTGATAACAGAAACATCTGTAGAAAAGATGAGCAAACCAAAAGTCATTGTAAACCAACTATGGAGTGCTTATGTATACGTAAATAGCTATACATTTTTTAAAAAATATTTATTTTAGAGGTAGAAAGAGAGATCCTTCATCTGCTGGCTGACCTCATATGGCTGCAACAGCTAGGGCTGGGCCAGCTTGAAGCCAGGAGCTCTGACAAGGTCTCCCACGTGAGTGGCAGGGTCCCAAGCACCCGGGCGATCATCCACTGTCCTCAGAGACACAACAGCAAGAAGCTGGATTGGAAGCGTAGCGCTAGGATTTGAACCAGCACTCTGGTATGGGATACTGGCAAACCAGCCTCAGCATAACCTGCTGTACCACAATGCCAGTCCCTACATATTTGTTTTTACAAGTCTGAGACAATTCTGAATACTTTAAAATGCTGGGCTTTTTAAAGATCATAATATCACATATTTAAACATCTTAAAAATGATTTTGTTTTGAAAATAGTTAATACTTCGTGTAAGACTGCATAACTATTGTTTCTAGCCTTTTGATATTAAATTTTGCTGTAATGAACATCTGGAAATGAACTGAGTAGCTAGTAGAATTTTTAATCAAATAATTTAAGACTCTTGACAAATATCAGTAGAATGCCCACCAAGAGAGTTACAACAATTTCAGTTCCCACCAAAAGTGTATTAAATGTAAATTTAACCAACCCTAGGCATTACCTTTTGAAATAAAAACCAAATCAAAACAAGACTGAATTTAAGAGGTAAAATTTTACTTTCCCTTTATCATGTATAACATTGAACGTTTTTTCACTTTACTGAAGATATCTGTATATTCTGTGAGCTGTTCAAATCTTTATTCATTTTATTTGAAAGCCATAGTGATTGAGAAGCAGAGAGAGAGATTGAGAAGCTTCCATCTACTGGTTCATTCCCCAAAAGGCTGCATTGGTGGGGACTGGGCCCGGCCAAAGCCGGGAGCCAGGAAATCCATCTGGGTCTCCCGAGTACTTGGTCTATTTTCCACAGCCATCCAGACATATTAGGAAGCTGGATCAGAAGCAGAGTAGCCAGGACTGCCAGGACTCCAGCCAGCATTATTGGATGCAGGCATTCCAGTCAGTGACTTAACATGCTCTGCCACAGTGTTGGCCCCTGGTATGTTCTCTTTCTTATGCTCTGTCTCCTTTTGTTTCACACATCTTGTTTTTAAGAAAAATTTTTTGAAAAGCAGAGCAACAGTGAGATATACGTCCCATCCACTGTTTTACTCCCTAAGAGCTTGCAAAAGCTGGGGCTGGGTCAGCTCGAAGCCAAGAGCCAGGCTATCAATCCAGGTCTTCCACACAAGTCACAGGGACCCAAATATTTGAACTATCACTTGTTGCCTCGCAGAGTACACATAAGCAGGAATTTGGATTGAAAGCAGAGAACATGAACAAAGTACTCCAATATGGGATCCCAAGTGGCCACTTAACCACTGTGCTATGATACCCACCCCTATTTACCTTTTGAATTCTGCTTATAGTGTTGGCATTTTCTTGTGGTTAAATATTTTTTAGGTCTGCACATTTCATAACTGGTACTCTTTCCATCCTGAGATTAGATATCTAACCATTTTTATTTTTTAATTGTTTTGTGTTTTTACTTTTTAAAAATTTGAGAGACAGATAGACCTCTTCTGCTGGTTCACTCTTCAAATGTCCAGTGTTGACCCAGGGGCTGAATCTAGGAGATGGAAACTCAATCCACGTCTCCTAGGATGGTGGCAGGAATCCAATCACTTGAGCCATTACTGCTGCCTCCCCAGGGTCTACATTAGTGGGAAGCAGGAGTTAAGAGCTAGAGCTGGTTATCAAACCCACATTCTGGGATGTAGGTGTCTTAACCACCATCTTAACCTCTATGCCAGTGCCCATTCTGTGCTTTTACTTACTACAATTTATTTCTTTACTTTATAAGTTTAATCTTTAATATTGAAATGATTTGAAATAAAGAGAAGCCCTATTTTTTCCCCAATTGATTAACCAATTGCGAGCAAACTGTTTATTGAATAACCCTTCTTTTCCTCACTGCTTTGTCTCCAGATTATCTATTCTAAAGATCTCTTTGCAAACACCAGCACTGCAGTCTGAAATATGACTGCTTTGTAAGCAGTCAGAGGCTATTCTTATTTTGCTCACGACTGTATCCTTGAAAACTAGCATAGCACCTAGAACTGGGCAGACAGTGTTTCTGAATTATGAGTGAGATGAAGATTACTGACATGCAGAGGAAGCAGAAGACACCCTCTAAAATGGATATGCTCCCGAAGTCAGGACTTCTGCCTAAAGCCACCAGCCTGGGGCCTCCTAAATGTTCTGAAAAGCTCTGAGCCAAACACTGTTTTCCAGGAAGTTTCAGATAATGCTGGGAAAAGAAAAGGTTTCTCCAAGAGAAAGACAATAATATAATCTTCATATGCTGGTCAACCAAATTGCTTGTGTAATACTGGGACAGAGTGCATTTAATTTCTTAAAGATGGCAGAAGGTTGTCACGGTTTTCTAAAACGCTTGCATACACTTCTCTTTCTCATAAAGTCTAGTGTCTGAGGATTTTGTTGGGTCTCAGTGTCCTCATCCAAGGGTTTCAGTCCAAATCTAGTAGAAAAGCTGAAGAATATGGGGCTAAATATTCCTGAACCCAGTATATCTCCCACAAATTATATCTGCAATTTCTGATACTAGCTTTTAAATTTTAATTTTTTTGGTCATTTAGCCTTATTTCCATAAAAAGCCTAGCTAAAATATTGTATCGTAGGAAAGTCTTTTAAAAGATTTTATTTATTTATTTGAAAGGCAGAATGACACAGAGAGGGACTGATATAGACAGAAAGATCCACCATCTGCTGGTTCACTTCCCAAATGCCTGCCAACAGCTGGGGCTGGACCAGGCTGAAGCCAGAAGCCAGGAGCTCCATCAGGTCTCTGTGTGAGTGGCAGGAACCCAAGTACTTGGGCCATCATCATCTGCTGCCTCCTAGGCACATTAGTAGTAAGCTGAATAGCAAGCAAAGGTAGTAGGGCAAGGAAGGAGGTGCCATGGTACAGCAGGCTAGTTGCTGCCTGCAATGCCAAAATCCCATGAGTGCTGGTTCTAGTTCTAGATTCTCCACTTTCAATCCAGTTCCCTGTTAATGTGCCTGCGAAAGCAACATTAGATAGTGCGAGTGCTTAGGCCCCTGCCACTCATGTGGGAGACTAGGATGGAGTTCTAGGCTCCTGGCTTCTACTTGGCCTAGCCTTGGCTGTTGTGGCCACTTGGGGAGTGAGACAGCAGATGGAAGATCACTCACTTTCTTTCTGTAACTTTGCCTTTCAAATAAATACATATTAAAATTAAAAAAAAAAAAAAAAAGCAAAGGTGAGACTTGATTCCAGGCACTCTGATATGAGATCCCAAGTGGTGGCTAACTCAGTGTACCACAATGTCCACCCAGGAAAGGCTTCCTGCTACCCTCTATCATACCTCTTATCCTATCATATATGATCTGTTTGTAGATTTCCCTATTAAACTGGAAGGTCCTCAAGATTAGAGATGTGTCTGTATTTCTTTTTTTTAGAACATTCTCAGCAAGGGTTTGTTTTTGTTTTTTTAAAGATTTATTTATTTCTTTGAAAGGCAGAGTTAGAGAGAGGCAGAGGCAGAGATAGAAGTCTTCCATCCACTGGTTCACTCCTCAAATGGCTTTACTTCTGATATCTAGCATAATATTTGCTATGTGGTAGGTTTTTTTTTTTTTATTTTATTTTTTTTTTGACAGGCAGAGTGGACAGTGAGAGAGAGAGACAGAGAGAGAAAGGTCTTCCCTTGCCGTTGGTTCACCCTCCAATGGCCGCCGCTGCAGCCGGCGCACCGCGCTGATCCGATGGCAGGAGCCAGGATCCAGGTGCTTTTCCTGGTCTCCCATGGGGAGCAGGGCCCAAGCACCTGGGCCATCCTCCACTGCACTCCCTGGCCATAGCAGAGAGCTGGGCTGGAAGAGGGGCAACCGGGACAGAATCCGGCGCCCTGACCGGGACTAGAACCCGGTGTGCCGGCGCCGCAAGGTGGAGGATTAACCTATTGAGCCACGGCGCCGGCCAACTATGTGGTAGGTTTTAATCAATGTTTATTAAACCAAATCTATTATATCAGCTAATTATGTAGCAACAAGAGAAATTATGCTTAACTAAGAGCTCCAGTGGTTTCTACCTGAGTCAGTGAATAGCAGATTCTATAAGGCTAAGAGGAACCCTAAAAATAATCTTTTCTGGGGGCCAGTGATGTGGCGTAGCAGGTAAAGCCACTGCCTGCAGTGCTGGTATCCCATATGGGCACTGGTTCAAGTCCCGGCTGCTCCACTTCTGATCCAGCTCTCTACTATGGCCTGGGAAAGAAACAGAAGATGGCCCAATTTCTTGGGCCCCTACACCTATGTGGGAGACCCGGAAGAAGCTCTGGCTATTGTGGCCATTGGATCTGCCTCTCTGTATCTGCCTTTCAAATAAATAAATAAATAAATCCTTAATAATAATAATAATAATAATCTTTGATCCCTTTTACAATGCCGAATTCCCTGTACTACACTCTTGTGTTTAGGAGTTATCCAGACTTTATTTTAACATGGAATGATAGGATGCTTATTACCTGTGAAATTAGCTTGTTTCATTACAAGTTCATATTTAAAGGTTGTACCTTCAGTTTAGCAAAAATGCATTCTCCTTTAGCTTCCACCCAGAACAAGTCTATTAATCCCTCTTTCACATGACAACCATTCATATATTTTAAGATGCTTCATGTCTCCCAAGTCTTCTCTTTGCAGGAATAACACCTCCAGTCTTCCACACGTGACTCATGACGTAGCTCTGATTTCTTTCTCCATTCTCCAGGGTAGCCTGAATACTGCAGAGCCAGGTGGAGCTATCGTCCCCCTTGTCTTTCAGCCTATATTACATTTACATAGGTTCACACAGCTCAGAGTAGTCATTATAAGTGGCTTCAGCACTTTGTCAACTAAATCCCTTATTCTTTTTCAGACAAGCTGCTGTTCAGCCAGACCCCACTATCCCCTACCCTGAGGCCATGCAGTTGGAATGTTTAGACTCGGTGAAGAGTTGGTTTATCATGTGAAATTTCATTTTGTTAGATTTGACCATTGTGCCAACCCTGACAAGAACTCTAGGAATCTTGGCTCTGCCATCCCTTGTGATCACTACCCTTCCCTATTTTGTGTCCCCTGCAAATATGGTGAGCAAGCAAGTCAGTGACAAATGCCCAGTGGACCAGCACTTTGTGAAAAGCTATCAGAGCCCTCCTCCCAACCTCAGTCCATCGCTGCCCCTGCATTTTACCAGCACCCAGCTTTATGTGTGTGTGTGCTATTCCTACTTTCACTGTATAAAATCAGGCCACCATTCTACCTGCCACCTTAACTTACTTCCAGACTGGAAGGCCTTGTCTTCATCAGCTCATCCCATAGTCGGCGCCAGATGGCCTGAGTGGAGAGGCCTGTAGGGAGAAATATCACACTTATTTGGCTGTTTGCTGGCTACTATGAGTGAAATATATTCGTCTTTCCTTTTGTGCTCTGGGTTCACAGGAACAACACACCAGAGTGATTAAGCACTGGTTGTAAAGACAGACTGTCTGGTTTTGAATATCAGCGAACTACACTCCAGCTGTGTGCCTGAGCAACTTATTTAAGTACCTGTTTCCTCATTAGTAAAATGTGGTTATAGCTATTTCATAGGGCTGTTGAAAGTATTATATGAGTTTCTTGGTACAAAGTGCCTAGGATAACACTTGGCACATCAGGATTAAATAAATGTTAGCTGTTAACAGATGTGTCTGAGGAACAGTGGCAGCTTGGTAAAATAAGAAGAAAAAACAGATTCAGGAGATCTGGGTTCTAATCCTAGCTTTGCTATTAATCGTGGTGCACCTGTATCTCACTTTTTCACTATAATAGGAATCATATTCTTGCTTTTTGTTTCACAGGACACTGTAGAGAATCTTATCAGAAAGCAGATGTGAGGGTACTTTTCAAAAAATGAAGTTCTGTGAAGCTATCAGGTATACTATATACCTGGTGAACAAGAGTGCCATGCTCATAACCACTGAGAAAGAGACAGAAAGACACTCACCTTTCTTGAGGGCAGTTTCCTCAATCCTCTCCAAGTAATATATATTAAGCAGAGGTAAGATGCTTTGAAGTATTGGGCCAGGGAGAGCTACAAAAACCAAAACACAAAGTTTACTTTTTCCTCCCTGGGGTTCCATGCATTATTTATTTTACTGGAAAGGAAAATGGAAGGGTAGACTTCTCACTTGATAAATGGAACCTGCAGAAATTAACATAAGTCTGTTCTAAACTTTGGCCCACTTATCTTCAGTCACTCAGTTGGCAGCTAGAATTTCAGGGGCAACAGTGAGATAATCCCACAAAACAAGCTGACATGCTCATCTAGGATCTGGTTAATGCACAATGAACCATTCTGCATTAAAAAGGTCTGACTGAGGGGGCCGGTGCAGTGGCCCACCATCTGCAGTGCTCCACTTCCTATCCAGCTGTCTGCTATGGCCTGGGAAAGCAGAAGATGGCCCAATTTCCAGGCCCCTGCACCCGCGCAGAAGACTTGGAAGAGGCGCCTGGCTCCTGGCTTCGGATTGGAGCAGCTCTGGCTGCTGCGGCCATCTGGGGAGTGAACCAGCAGATGAAGACCTCTGCCTCTGCCTTTGTGGCATAGCCTGCAACATCAGCATCCCATATAAGTGCTGGGTTAGATTCCTAGCTGAGGGACAGGCAATATGGTACAGTGGGTTAAACTGCAGCTTGGGATGCTGACATCCCATGTCGAAGGGCTATTCTGAGTCCTGGCTCCTCTGCTTCTGATCCCATTTCCTGCTAATGTGGATGGGAAAGCAATGGAAGAAAGCCCAAGTGCTTGGGTTCCTGCCACCCATGTGGGAAACCCAGAGGGAGTTCAGGGCATCTGGCTTCGGCCTGGCCTAGCAATGGCTGTTGCACCCATCTGGGGAGTGAATCAGCAAATGGAAGATCTCTCTGTCACTTTGCCTTTCAAATAAACAAATAAATAAATCTAAAAAAAGTCCTACTGAATATGTGTGTTAAAAGGTCCTTCATAATCTGCTCTGTTCACTTCAACTCCCTGCTTAACCTCCCACACTTCAGCCACACTAAAATACTCTTTTCATTTATCTGGCGTATCATGCTGCACTCTGCCTCTGACATGCTGTACTCCAACAGGAATGTCCTTGCTCCTTTGAGCACTTTTATCAACTTCTCATCTTTCAAGTGTCATGTGCCCTTTATTATGGCTTTCTTGAATTCTCATTCTTCCAAATTGAACACTTCTATCCTTTGGGCCATTACTTTAGCCTGAACTAGTGTTTTCCAATAGTTAAGATAACTACTCTCTAAATTCAACGTATCTTAAAAACAAAACCTGCTCTCACCAACTTCTTTAGTTCTTAGAAATTATTACAGTATAGTGGCTGAAGGGCTTCGTCTCTAGAGTTGGATGAATTTGGTCAAATCCTAACTGTACAACTTAGTTGTGAATCCTTAGACCAATTATTTAACCTCTTCAAGCCTCATGTTCCTCAATTTTAAAATGGAGATTATAATAACTACCTCCTGAAACTGTTGTGAAGATTAAAGGAGATCACAGTTGCAATCTGCTCAAGATAATGTCTTGCCATAAGAAGTTCACTAAATGTTGGCTATTACTCACTTTTTTTTTTAAAGATTTATTTGTTTATTTGAAAGTCAGCGTTCCAGAGAGGGAAGGAGAAGCAGAGAGAGAGAAAGAGAGGTCTTCCATCTGCTGGTTCACTCCCCAACTGACTACAATGGCTGGAGCTGTGCTGATTTGAAGCCAGGAGCCAGGACCTTCTTCTGGGTCTCCCAGGCGGGTGCAGGGCCCAAGGACTTGGGCCATCTTCTACTGCTTTCCCAGACCATAGCAGAGAGCTGGATCAGAAGTGGAGCAGCCAGGACTCAACCTGGCACCCATATGGATTGCCGGCACTGCATCCTGCTACACCAGAGCACTGGCCCCTACTATTATTTTATCCTGTCAGTAGCATCTCTGTTCCATCAAAAACAGGTTTAAGATCTTGGAGCATAGCAAAGCTTCCATTCTAGGTCTCCTTTTATCTTTCCTTGTATAATAACTAAATTTTTTAGATTTATTTATTTATTTGAAAGGCAGAGTTACACAGAGAGAAACCGCCTTCCATTCACTGGTTCATTCCCTAAATGGCCACAATGGCTAGAGCTGGGCAGATCCAAAGCCAGGAGCCAGAATCTTTTTCGAGATCTCTGTGTGGGTGCACAGGCCCAATCACTTGGGCCATCTCCCACTGCTTTCCCAGGTTCATTAGCAGGGAGCTGGATGGGAAGTGGAGCAGTCAGGAATCTAACCCAGCACTCATATGGGATGCTGGTGTTGCAGGCAGCAGCTTTACTCGCTACGCCACAACATCAGCCCCAATAACTGAATCTTGATATCTAAGAATTTAGCACAATTCTTTATACATAGTAGGTACTTAATGTACATGCTGGAAGTGTTACTTCCCTATGCTATTACACTTACCCAGGCCACATTGTAAGGCCATCACAAAACACACCAAACACCAGAGTTAAGGGAAAGGGTTTATTGATAGGGGAAGTCCAGTAGGCTGGAGGAAGGGGGGGGAGGCTGACAGAGATAGATCTGTAGAGAGCACACGTGTGCAGGAAGCAGGTCCTTTTAGACCTTTCTGGGGGGCAGGGAAATAGGAGCAGCAAATCCCATTAGGGTAGGGGTAGAGCTGACACCTGTGGTTGGGCCATGTGGTCACCTGGCTTCTAGCAATGGCGGCAGGGGCTAGGGCCAAGGATGGTGTCCGGGGTGTAGATCACACCACAGATAGGACTGCACCATTTTACTAACACACATCACCTATCATTTGGACTATTGCAACATTCTTTTTTTTTTTTTTTGACAGGCAGAGTAGATAGTGAGAGAGAGAGACAGAGAGAAAGGTCTTCCTTTTTGCCGTTGGTTCACCCTCCAATGGCCGCCACAGCTGGCGCACCGTGCTGATCCGATGGCAGGAGCCAGGTGCTTCTCCTGGTCTCCCATGGGGTGCAGGGCCCAAGCACTTGGGCCATCCTCCACTGCATTCCCAGGCCACAGCAGAGAGCTGGCCTGGAAGAAAGGCAACCGGGAAAGAATGCGGCGCCCCGACCAGGACTAGAACCTGGTGTGCCGGCGCCTCTAGGTGGAGGATTAGCCTATTGAGCCGCGGCGCTGGCCTATTGCAACATTCTAATTGCTCTCCTAACCTCAGTCTCGCTGTATCCTGCTCTTGGTGATGACATTCCCCTCTTCAAACCCCTCAAAAAGGGTGGGTGTTTGGCCTGGCAGTTAAGATACTGCTTGGGATGCCCTCACCCCACATCAAAGTGCCTGAGTTTGAGCCCCAGCTCTGCTCCTGATTCCCGCTTCCTGCTAACGCTCATCCTAGGAGGCAGCAGGTGACAGCTCAAGTAGTTGAGTCCATGCCCCCAACATGAGATCCAGCTTGACTTCCAGGCTCCTGGTTTCAACCTGTCCCCAGCTCCCACCATTGTAGGGACTGGGGGAGTAAACCAGCCAGTGGATGGGAGCGCTCTCTGTCTCTCAAATAAGAGTAAAATAAATAAGATGCAACTGGAAAAAGGGAAAACATGTTTAAATAACACTTCAAAGGTTCTACATGTTTAAATAACACTTCAAAGGTTCTACTGCATCCATCTCACACCTGGCATTTACAGTCTAATATACTTTATTCCACCTAGGTTTCCTCATTGTACCCTTTCTTGCTGCCTCTACTCACTGCCCCTTCCCCACTCCTTACACAAAGCAATGCTGGTCCACTGCCTCTCTGAAGCCTTTCCAGGCTGTTTCCCAGCCCTTGCTGAGACCTTTATCCACAGGAGCACTGCTTAGCAGGCCTCTTTCTTGACCCTTCTTCTAAAAGGCCTCATTTGATCCACATTTTTCTGTGTGACTCTGACCTGGTCTAGGCACAACTCTTTCTCCTGCCTCTCAATTTGGCTGGTACATACAGCAAGGGAGGAGGGTGGTGGGGGAGGAAATTTAGTAAACTTTCAGTTGATTGTTTTGCGCGCGGGGTGGGGGGTGGGGTGGGGGGGAGCAACACAGAAGGAAGTTCTTCCAGACCCTTACCTCTTCTCCCTCCATTCTGCCCCCTGTTTAGCCATCCCCTCTGACAGCCACAGGAATTCTCATGTCCTATTTCAAGCTCCTGTTTCTCCAGTCTTCATAAGCCAGTGTCTTGCTTGCTTCCTTCCAGACTACACCTTTAATGCCTCCTTTTCCCAGTGTGGGGGTCCACAAGCAGCTGCCTCCCCCTTCTAGCCAGGTTTGGCATCCAGGCTGATGCTGCCCCTCTCTGACTTCTTCCAACTTCCCCAGGCCTTTTCTGAGCCCCCTGTTCAACTCCTCAGGGATCTTTCTCCCAATTTCCACCGGTCAGCCTGACCCTTCCCAGCTGTTGGCACAGGGCCTCTCCCCACCCCCACCAGGGTGCCCCACTCCCACCACCAAGGGCCTCCTTGACCACTCTCCAGAGCCTTGGAGTTTATTCTGGAGCCCCAACCCCCTAAACCCCAGGCCTTTCTCCCCCATTCCCCTCCTCACAGTGCAACCTCACACCTCCAAACCCCACAGTGGGGCCTCAAGCCGCCACTTCTGACCTGAGCAGGGCCTTACTCCCAGCAAAAACGCCCCCTTCCCTCCCCTGACCCAGAACCTCCACTCCTGCACCCCTCTTCCTCCAGGCCATGGGCCTGGCCTACTCCTCACTCAGCTCCAGCCCTGGCCTCGGGGACCCCTCCCCCTCACAGCAGCAGACTGTCAGGCTCAAGGCCTCCCTCGACACCCCCCCCCCCCCCCCAAGGGGGTGGGTTGTTTTAACAAACCTCAATTTCCCTTTTTTGCTCCCAGGTACTCCTCACCGCCCCACCCCACACACGGCCTCCTCGGGCCCATCGGGCAAGCAGGCCTCCCGGCCTCCGCTCCCGGCCCGCCAGACTCCCGGGCCCACAACCCTGCCCGGCCGCTCATCCCAGCGCCCCAACCCGCGCGCCTTAGCTCTTCAGCCTGGATGTCCTCCGCCGCGGCCCGGGCCTGTGCTCCCGGCCGCCCTCACGCCCAGGGCCTCCGGTCACTTCCATTTGGCCCAAGGCCTCAAGGCCTCTCCGCCGCGACGCACCCCTCCCATTCCGGCCGGACAGTCCGGGATATCCCCGACCCGGGGCCTCCTGGGCCCTTCCAGCCCGCCCGACGTCCGAGCCTCCCTCGCTGGCTGAGCCGCCCCGGGCCCTCTCCGCCCGCTCTCCGGCCTCCCTGGCCACTCCGGCAGATCCGAGTGGCCTCCGGCGTTCTCAGACGCGCCGGCTGCTCCGCCGCTCGATCCGCTTGGCACCCGAGGCCGGGTCGTCAGCCCGGCACCGTCGGACAGGCCGCGGCGACCCGAGCCCTTCGGCTTCTCCCTCAGCCCCACTCCCCTGCTCTCCAATCCGCGGCCGCACCCCCGCCCATCGGCGTGGGCTCCAGAGCCTGGCACTGGCGGGGTGTCAGGCCGACGCCTGGGGCCCCGGGCCGTCAGTCGGGCTGGGTGGCCCTGGGCCTGGCCTCATTGCCTTAGGCCAGGCCTCTCAACCTCGGCCCCTGGCCTGGACAGCCGGGCTATCCCTTGCACGTCGGTCCGACATCCGAGGTTCCCCAGCCCGGCTCAGCCGAGTGTCAGTTCGGCACCCACGGCTCATGCTCGCCAGTGCAGCCTCTGTCGCCCGGGCCCTGCCTCCTTCGCCCTCGCCGGGCCTCCTGGCCTCGCCCCCCGCGCCCCCAAGTCAGGCCGCCGTGCAGGTCCACCTGCCCATTTAGTCTCCTTCTTTACTCTGTCCAGCCCTGTCAGTCATGGAATTCATGCTCCGACCCTACAATCGGGCTTCCAGTGCCCGGGGCTGGGCCTTGCCCGGGGCCTCCCGGCCTCGCCCCCCGCGCCCCCTGGCCGCTGGGCCGCCCCCGCTCGTTGCCAGAGGTAGCCCCTCACCCCGCGACTTACCCCACACCCCGCTCTCCAGAACCCCCATATGGGCGCTCACCGCCCGCCCGCACAGCTCGAACAGGGCGGGGGGAGCGCTGGGGCCCGAGGCCGAGCTCTTCGCTGGCGCCGCCTCCCGGGACGTGGCCTCCATGGTCGTTGCCGCCGCTACCTCACAGAACCAGCAACTCCGGGCGCGCCAGGCCTCGGGCGCCGCCATCTTGGGGAGGTGCGCGAGCCCGAGAGCGGCGTCCGCCGACCGCCATCTTGAAAAGGTCAGCAGTTAGGACGACTCCATAAGCAATATAGGTAAGAACGGGAACTGCGCAAAAGAAATGTGGAATAAGTTTGCAGATTCTTCACGTCTTTTAGGACATACTATTTTTACAAAACCTCTTAGGTCAGAACATTTGGGTCTGGAATGACTAAATGGATGTTGCTTCGTAAAGACTCCTCAGGCACAAATACCAGCTCCCCCTACCCTCTGCCTCTGGCCGATAGTACATGCCGATCAGAGCGTGTGTTCGCGACTACGAGGAGTATGCCGCACTTCCGGCCAGATTGCCGGATATCCGTCGAGTGACCCTTACAAGTCCTTCTTGATCCCCAACTGGAGTGGGTACCGTGTGGCTGCTACTGTTGAATCCAGAACCGTAGGCGGACATGGGACTGGAGGATGAGCAAAAGATGCTGACCGGGGCCGGAGATCCCAAGGAGGTAAGACAACGAGATCGGCTCGACCCTCTTGCCTTTGGGGAGTGAAGCGCAGGACCTAGCCCGCCAAAACACGCTCGGGGTCCTCTTGGCCTCGGGTTCCTCCCTGGGGTTTGTAGATCGAGCGAATTTCCTCGACCCTTCCTCGAATTCGCCTAGTGGCTCTGGACAGGTGGATGACTAGTCCTTCTGTGGCCTCGGCTTCCCCATTCTATAAATGTGGTGGAAATGTGACGAGATCGAAAATGCTGTATCAACTTTTGTAAAAACAGTATTGGTTTGGGAGATCTGGCCTGATCCTGGTGGAAACTGGCTTTTCTTTCTTTCCTGGGGCTGGGGCTAGGAGAGAGGTTGTGTCTTGGGGAACAGGGTAGGAATGTGGTGAAAGGGAGTTCTTCCCCAGACCAGACGCCGACATAAAGAGTGTGTGTGAACTGCTTGCTATTCCGAGTGCTTTCTATGTACTAGTTCATTTCATCTACAAAGTTGCTGATATTTTTAAAAATAGTGTGTCCTAAAAGACGTGTTAGTACCATTTGTTCAGGCGAGGGAAGTAGCACAGACGGGTTAAGTATCTTGTCTAAGGACACACAGGAAACGGTGAAGCAGGAATCGAGCCCAGCCGCACAGTTCTGAAGCCGGGACTCAGCCACAGTGCCGCACAGCTACGCAGACGTCACTGGCTTCGCGTTTCCAGCCTCATTCCCTGTATTTATTTGAACACTTCAGGACAGCCATTTATCCCATTTATCCCTTAATTTTTTTCCTACTCTTATTTTCAGAAAGAGCTGGAACCAGCCTTGGAAAGTTCAGTGGTACCCACAACTTTTTTTTTTTTTTTAAGAATTATTTTATTTATTTGAAAGACACAGAGAGAGAGGTAGAGACAGTGCAGAGAGTACAGAGTGTGTGTGTGTGGGGGGGGGGTCCTTCCATCTGCTGGTTCACTCCCCAAATGATTGCAAGAGCCAAAGCTGAGCTTATCCAAAGCCAGGAGCCTGGAGCTTCTTCCCGGTCTCCCACGTGGGTGCAGGGGCCCAAGGAGTTGGGCCATCTTCTACTGCTTTCCCAGGCCCTAGCAGAGAGCTGGATTGGAAGTGGAGCAGCCAGGACTTGAACTGGTGCCCATATGGGATGCCAGCACTGCAGGCTGGAGCTTTAACCTGCTGCACCACACTGCCAGCCCGGACCACCACAACTTGAAAATAAAGAAAGCTAGGGTGTTTTATGAAGAACCCATCATTGCTGGGGATTATGTCTTTTTCTTTAACATGACCTTCATTTTCTCACTGACTGGAAATTTTACATGAAGCAGATCTGTGTTTCCAAAATGTGCCATGATATTTTTGACACAGGTTTGTCAGTGCTGTAGCACTGCTAATAAGTGGGATGCTATAAAGGTCTTATATAATATATAATATTTATTTCTAGTTTCTAACTTAAGACAGTGTGATTTTTGGTTTTGGGGAGAAGACTTTTTCAGTATGGATTTAAAAAAATTTTATTTATTTATTTGAAAGGCAAAATGAGAGATCTTCCATCTGCTGGTTCACTCCTACAACAGCCAGGGCTGGGCCAAGCTGAAGCCAGGAGCTTGGGCCATCTTCTACTGCTTTCCCAGGAGCGTTAGCAGAGAGCTGGACCTGAAGTGGAGCATCCAGGTCTCAACTGGCACCCATCTGGGATGCGGGCATTGCAGGAGGCAATTTTACTCAATATGCCACAGAGCCAGCCCCTCAGTGTGATTTTTTTTTTTTTTTTTTTTTTTTTTTTTTTGACAGGCAGAGTGGACAGAGAGAGAGACAGAGAGAAAGGTCTTCCTTTGCTGTTGGTTCACCCTTCAATGGCCGCGCACGCCGCAGCCGGCGCACCGCGCTGATCTGATGGCAGGAGTTAGTTACTTCTCCTGGTCTCCCATGCGTTGCAGGGCCCAAGCACTTGGGCCATCCTCCACTGCACTCCTGGGCCACAGCAGAGAGCTGGCCGGGAAGAGGGGCAACCGGGACAGAATCCGGCGCCCCGACCGGGACTAGAACCCGGTGTGCCGGCGCCGCAAGGCAGAGGATTAGCCTAGTGAGCCGTGGCGCCGGCGTGAATTTTTTTTTAAAAGAAAAGATTAAGAGGTCCAGAGCTGTGGTGTGGTGGGTAGGGCCACCACCTGCAGTGCATGTGGGCCCCGGTTCATGTGGTTCAAGTCCTGGCTGCTCCACTTCCAATCCAGCTCTCTGCTATGGCCTGGGAAAGCAGTGGAGGATGGCCCTGGTTCTTGGGCCGCTGCACCCGCGTGGGAGACCTGGAAGAGGCTCCTGGCTCCTGGCTTCCGATCGGCACAGCTCCGGCCATTGTGGCCAACTGGGAGTGAATCAGTGGATTGAAGTCTCTCTCTCTCTCTCTCTCTGCCTCTCTGTAGCTCTGCCTTTCAAATAAATAAGTAAATCTTAAAAAAAAAAAAAAAAAAAAAAAGGTTAAGAGACCTTGTTCATGGAGTGGGCTGCAGCATAGTAGTTAAGGTGCTGGTTAAAATGCACACATCCCACACTGGAGTACCTGAGTTTAAGTCCTCCCTCTGGCTCCTGAGCATAGCCTGCTGGAGCAGACCTGGGAAGCAGCAGGTGATGACACAAGTAACTGGGCTCTTGCCACCACATGAAAGACCTGAATTTTTTTCAGGTCTGAATTGTGTTCCCAGCTTTGACCCCAGCCCAGTCATTGCAGGCATTTGGAGAGTGACTCAGCAGATGAGAGCGCTCTCTGCCTTGTAAATCAATACTAAAAAATAATAATAAACCTTATTAGAACTGGCTTCTTAAATAGCATCTTCATGTTGAGAAAAAAAAAAAATCCTTGCCATTTATGAGAACAAGTAGCTGGGGTTACAGTTGAGCCAACCCTACCCCCTCACTCTCAGCTTATGTTGAACTTTTGTCCCTTCCTTGATGGTAGAGAATGACACAGATTATATTTTTTTAAAAAAAGATTTATTTATTTATTTGAAAGTGTTACACAGAGAGAGGAGAGGCAGAGAGAGAGAGAGAAGTCTTCCATTGCTGGTTCACTCCCCAATTGGCTGCAACAGCCAGAGCTGCACAGATCCAAAGCCAGGAGCCAGGAGCTTCCTCCAGGTCTCCCATCCAGGTGCAGGGGCCCAAGGACTTGGGCCATCTTCCACTGTTTCCCCAGGCCATAGCAGAGAGCTGGATTGGAAGTGGAGCAGTCGGGACTCAAACCGGTGCCCATATGAGATGCCGGCACTGCAGGTGGTAGCTTTACCTGCTATGCCACAGTGGCAGCCCCTGTATTGGGGTTTTGAAAACATGATTGCTGAGCTAGTTATTTTTCTTTCCCTATGAGGTGTTTCAAAAAATTCATGGGAAATGTAGTTAAAAGATAACTTTTAATGTGAAAACATTTTGAAATCTGCATAGCTTTTTCATAATACACATTTTCCATGACTTTTTGAAGATTCCACGTGAATACCTTTTCTTTCTCTTCTTCCAGATGTTGCCACATGCATGTACAGGCAGGCAAACACCTTTCTTTTGTAAAAATTTGACAGATGGGGCTGGTGCCGTGGCTCACTTGGTTAATACTCCACCTGTGGCGCCAGCATCCCATACGGGTGCCGGGTTCTAGGCCCAGTTGCCCCTCTTCCAGTCCATCTCTTCTGTGGCCCGGGGGCGCCAGTGGAGGATGGCCTGAGTGCTTGGGCTCCTGCACCAACATGGGAGACCAAGAAGAAGCACCTGGCTCCTGGCTTTGGATCAGCGCAGCGCCAGCCATAGTGGCCATTTGGGGAGTGAACCAGCGGAAGGAAGACCTTTCTCTCTGTCTCTCTCTCTCACTGTCTATATGTCTACCTGTCAAATAAAAAAAAAAAAAATTATTATTTGACAGACCAAGAAAGAGAGGAAAAGCTTTCATCCACTGGTTCACTCTCCAAATGCCTACAATAACAGGACTGGGCCAGGCTGAAGCTGGAAGCCGGGAACTCAATCCAGGTCTCCCAGGTGGGAGGGACCCAACTACTTGAGCTGTCATTTGCTGCCTCTCAGGGTTCACATTAGCAGGAAGCTGTAATCAGAAGCCAGACCTGGGCATTGAACCCAGGTACTCTGATGTAGGACACAGGTGCCTTTTTTCTTTTTTGGAAAGATTTATTTATTTATTTGAAGGGTGGAGTGACAGGGAGAGAGGGATAGACATAGTGAGATCACCTAACCACTGGTTCATTATCTCCAGATGGCTGCAGTGCCCAGGCCTGTGCCAGGCAGAAACCAGGGCTCAGTACTCCTTCCAGATCTCCCACATGCGTGGCAGGGGCCCAAGTACTTAGAACCTTCTATTGCTTTCCCATACATATTAGTAGGGAGCTGGATTGAAAGTGGGGTAGTCAGGACTAGAACTGGCATTCTGGCTCTCTGATGTTGGATGCCAGCATCTCACTGGCAGCCTAACCCTCTGAACCACAATGCAACCCTGGACACAGTTGTCTTGAGGAATATCAACCAGTAGGCCAAATGCTTGCCCTAAACACATTTATGATAGGTTTGGAAGCTGGTTAGACTCTACTGTGCCCCTATATTTAGGCTTTTTTTTTTTTTTTTTTTAAGATTTACTTACCTACTTCAGAGGCAAAGTTACAGAGAGGGAGAAAGAGAGAGAGGTTTTCATTCCACTGGCTCACTCTCCAAATGGCCACAACAGCTGAAGCTGGGCCGATCTGAAGCCAGAAGCTTCTTCTGGGTCTCCCACACAGGTACAGGGGCCCAAGTACGTGGGCCATCTTCTACTGCTTTCCCAGGACTCAAACTGGCACCCATATGGGATGTCGGCACTGTAGGTGGTACTTAGCCTATTACGCCATAGCGCTGGCCCTGGCCTATATTAATTCTATGGGGAAATTTTTATACTGCTACCCTTGGAAGAAAGAAAAGTTTGAAGTTGTGCACTTCAATCAGATATCAAGGGGTCGGCACTGTGGCGTAGCAGGTAAAGCCACCGCCTGCAGTGCCAGCATCCCATATGGGCTCTGGTTCAAGTCCCGGCTGCTCCACTTCTGATCCAGCTCTCTGCTGTGGCCTGGGAAAGCAGTGGAAGATGGCCCAAGTCCTTGCCCCTGCACCTGGGTGAGAGACCCGGAGGAAGCTCCTGGCTCCTGGCTTGGACCTGCGCAGCTCCAGCTGTTGTGGCCAAATGGGGAGTGAACCAGCAGATGGAAGACCCCACCCCCACCCCCGCCCCCGCGCCTCTCCTCTCTCTGTGTAATTCTGACTTCCAAATAAATAAGTAAATCTTTAAAAAAAAAAAAAATCAATAGTTAGGAGACTGATGTGGTATAGTGGGTGAAGGCACTGCGTCCAGCGCTGGCATTCCTTGTGGGCACCAGTTCAAATCCCAGCTGCTCTACTTCGGATTCAGCTCCCTGCTGATGTGCCTGGGAAAGCAGCAAAGGATGGCCCAAATGCTTGAGCTCCTGCAGCCTCATGGGAGATGCAGAAGAATCCTGGCTCCTGGTTTCGGCCTGGCCCAGCCCTGACCATTGTGGCTTTTGGGGAATGAACCCGCAGATGGAAGACCTCTCTCTCTGCCTCTCACTCTCTTTCTATAACTCTGCCTTTCAAAAAGGTCCTAATGCAGGAGTGGGAAACTCTTTCTGTCAAGTGCCACTTGGATATTTGTAACATCATTTATGGACCATATAAAATTATCAGCTTAAAAATTAGTCTACTGTTAGATTTGTTGAATTTCAAATCCTGCCTGTGGTTGCCTTGGCAAGGCCAGACCAAATGATTTCACAGGTCTTACATGATCTGTGGGCCCTGGCTTAATGTTTCCAAGTTTGTAGTGGTGTTGTGTAGACTTTTGGTGTACTTACATTGATGCTTAGTCTACCGAGGGACCTAAGGTTCAGCAAGCCAAAAAGCAGTGACATAACCATCTTTACTTCTGGGTAAAGAAGAGTTGAGATTTGGCCATTTTCATTTTCTGAATTCAAGTTCAGAGTCTTGGTATATAATATATGAGATTTAGGTTAAGGAGCTGTTGGCTACACAGGCCTTGGCTTGATTGGGTTGCATATGGATAGATGATCCCAGGCAAGTTGTTTGCTATCTCAAAAAATTAGCTGGGACCTGGCATTGTGGTGCAGCAGGTTAGGCTGCTGCTTATAACAGCAGCATCCCGTGTTTTAGTACTGACTGGAGTCTGAGCTGCTCTATTTCCAATACAGCTTCCTGCTAATGTGCCTGGCAAAGCAGCAGATGATGGCCCAGGTACATGGGCTGCTGCCACCCTTTTGGGAGACCAGTATGGAGTTCCTGACCTCTTGGCTTCTGCCTGGCCCAGACCTGATTGTTTGGTCATTTAGGGAGTGATGGAACAGATGGAATATCTCTCTGTTTCTCTCTCTCTCTCTCTGCCTTGCAAATAAATATTTTTTAAAAACAAGTACATTGAAAACAGCTTGCCCTGGGAGGGCAGGAGTAGCTGCGGGATTAGCAAGGCCCCTAAGATGTCAAAGCATCATAAAATACAGAAAAATTCTAATACAATGCTGTTCTCAAGAATTACAACATCAATATGATTGAGGATTTACATGTCATAAAACTGCTGTTGACATTAATTTTATTTTCTTTTTATAGGAAGAAGAGGAAGAGGAGGAATTAGTGGTAAGAGCTGTTTGAGGCTTGGAACCATCTCAGAAAAAGCAGGAAGTTTGAGCTTCATGAAACTCTAAGGGCATCTTAAGGAGTTTTCACTTGCCACCTTGGAGAGAATGGGGTTAGAGCAAGCCTTAATGCTTCCTGTGCAGTGGAGCATTTGGGGTGTGGGCCTGGGGACTTATTTTGGATTTGGGGCTCCTTCAGTTGTAGTACCAACGGGCACACAGCATCTCAAGGGCATGGCACTCAGCTGCCTGCTGTTTGTGGTTTAGTAAAGAGCTCTGAAAGGAGCTTTTCTCAAGTGTTCCTTCTCCATGTTAGCATTGCCTTCCTAGCTGGGCAGCTGTGTGCTTGGGGATGCTGAGGCTGGTTTTCAGACAGGGGAACTGACATTTCAGACATGACATATCCCAAAAGTGCTCTGTTAACAAGTCAGGCCTCCTATAGATCTACTTGAAATTTGGCCAGGTTTCCTTTATCACCTTGTTTTTCAGATAGGACTGAGGCTTTCAGTGCATACTGGCAACCTTGGAAGGCAGGAATGTGAAACTTTGCCCTACCACTTAGCGTCAGAATTGAATGGGAGACCCCATTCTGCCATTTCTGGCGGCAGTGTGACTCTGCCAGCTGGCCTTCTGCACGGTAATTTAGAGGCAGCTCCTTGGTTTGGTTGTTATGTGTTCAGCAAAGCATGTATGTTTGGTGGGTCTCCCAAAAAATCCCCATTTTGTTCTTCTCTGTTTATCTTTCAGGATCCCCTAACCACCGTGCGAGAGCAGTGCGAGCAGCTGGAGAAATGTGTCAAGGCCCGGGAGCGACTGGAGCTCTGTGATGAGCGTGTGTCCTCCCGATCACACACAGAAGAGGACTGCACGGAAGAGCTCTTTGACTTTTTGCATGCAAGGGACCACTGTGTAAGTCAAGCTGAAGTCAGGCAGGGAAAGGTTACAGTGGCCAGGAGACACCTGGTGTCCACACACTTCTGTTCTGTGATCTGTAGGCCCACCAGTAATCGTTTACTGTGGCCCCAACGGATCTCAGGTATGGTGTGGAGTATTTTATGTGACTCATCTTACTTAATCCTTTCCATTTACATTGGACATAGGTGTCATTTTCCTTATTTTACAGAGAAACATAGTCTAAGGAGAAAAATAACATCCCAACTTGCACTGCTAAATAGTGAGGAAACTAGATTTTGTACTTTTAAGGAATAAATTTTAAAATATTCTCTATCTTCCTATGTGGCTTATACATAGCAGCTGGTCCAAAAAGTGTTTTTGATTCTTTTGTTTATTTTTATTTATTTCAAAGACAGAATGACAAAGAGAGAAAGAGATCTTTCATTCATTGGATCATTGCTCAAATGCTGGTGACAGCTGGGGCTAGACCAGGCCAAAGCCAAAAGCCAGGACTTCATCTAGTTCTCTCATGTAGGTGGCAGAAGCCCAAGTACTGCTGCCTCTCAGGCACATTAACAGGAAGTTGGGTCAGAAGCAGAGGCAGATCTTGATCCCAGGTATTCATGGGATGCAGGCATCCCAAGCAGCAATCTTAACTGTTGTGCCAAGTGCCTGCCCTGAAGCATTATTCTTTTTTTTTTTTTTTTTAATATTTATTTATTTATTTGAAAGGCAGAATTATAGACAGACAGACAGAGAGAGAGAGATCTTCCATCCGCTGGTTCACTCCCCAGATGACTGTGACAGCCAGAGCTACATCGATCAGGAGCCAGGAGCTTCCCTCTGGTCTCCCATGTGGGTGCAGGGGCCCAAGGACTGGGCCATCTTCTATTGCTTTCCCAGGCCATACCAGACAGCTGGATTGGAAGAAGAGCAGCCAGGATTTGAACTGGTACCCATATGGGATGCTGTCACTGCAGGTTGCAGCTTTACCTGCTGTGCCACAGCGGCAGCCCCTGAAGCATTATTCTTAATAGCCCAAAAATGAAAACAACATCAATGTTTATCTAGTAATAAATCAATGAGTAAAATGTGTTCTGTCTATAAAATGGATTATTATTTGGGAATAACAAAAAACTATATACTTCAGAAATAAACATTGAAGTGCAGGCATTTGGTGTAGCACTTAAGAGACCACTTGGGGCCAGCGCCGCGGCTCACTAGGCTAATCCTCCGTCTTGTGGCACCGGCACACCAGGTTCTAGTCCTGGTCGGGGCACCAGATTCTGTCCCGGTTGCCCCTCTTCCAGGCCAGCTCTCTGCTGTGGCCCGGGAGTGCAGTGGAGGATGGCCCAAGTGCTTGGGCCCTGCACCCCACGGGAGACCAGGAGAAGCACCTGGCTTCTGCCTTTGGATCAGCGCAGTGCGCCGGCCATGGCGGCCATTGGAGGGTGAACCAACGGCAAAGGAAGACCTTTCTCTTTGTCTCTCTCTCACTATCCACTCTGTCAAAAAAAAAAAAAAAAAAAAAAAAAAAAAGACACCACTTGGGATATCTGTGTCTTTTATCAAAATGCCTGCGTGTGAGTCCCAGCCCCATTCCTGATTCCAGCTTCAAGCTAATGTGCGCCCTGGGAAGTAGCAGATGATGGCCCAAGTATTGGGTTCCTGCCACTCACATGTGAGACTGAGATTGAGTTCTTTGCTACTGGCTTTAGCCTAGCCCAGAGCCCTGGCCGTTGGCAGGCGTTTGTAGATTGAATAGGAGGAAAGGATCTCCCACTCCTCACTTTGCCCTCAACTTTTTTATTTTTATTTTTTAAGATTTATTAGAGAGAGAGAGAGGGGTCTTCCATCCACTGGTTCACTCCTCAAATGGCTACAGCAGCCAGAGCTGAGCCAATCAGAAGCAAGGAGCTTCATCCAGGTCTCCCACACAGGTGCAGGGACCCAAGGACTTGGGCCATCTTCTACTGCTTTCCCAGGTCATAGCAGAGAGCTGGATTGGAAGTGGAGCAGCCAGGACTCAAACCAGTGCCCATATGGGAAGCCGGCACTGCAGGTGGCGGCTTTACCTGCTATACCAGAACGCCAGCCCTGCCCCCAACTCTTGCTGTTGCTCATTCTCTGCCTCTTAAATTAAATATATGTATATATTTGAAAATAGAAATTAAACATGGAATTATATGAACTAGCAATTGTACTATTGGGTATATAACCAAAAGAGTTGAGAACAGCAATTCAAACAGATAATTGTCCACCTTCATGCAGCAGAATTCACAGTAGCCAAAGGGTAGAAACAACTCAAGTGTCCATCAAAGGATAAATGAATAAACAAAATATGGTATATATACACAATAGGATATTGTTCAGCCTTTAAAAAAAAAGGATACCAACATGTGGATGTATCTTGAGAACATTATGATAAGTGAAATAATCTATTCACAAAGAACAAAGACTGGATTATTCCACTTAAATGATGCACCTAGAGTAGTCACATTCGTAGAGACAGAAAGATTGCTGGTAGCCAGGAGCTGGGGAGAAGGGAGGCAGAGTTATTAATAGATTAAAAAGTTTCAGTTTGGAAAAATGATAAAGTTCTAGAGATTAAAAAGAACAGCTAGTAAACTGTAAGTCTTTTATTTTCCTCATATCATTTACCACTATAAGAAGGTACCTTATTTATGTTTATATATTTCTCTTATCACTCTTTTTTAAAATTGTTACCTTTGATTCTGTAATGCCTTTTTTTTTTTTTTAATTGAAAGGCAGAATTACAGAGAGAGAGAGAGAGAGATCTGAGATAGATATTCTAGCAATGTGTTCAGTCCCCAAATGGCCAGGATTGGGTTGCAATGGCCAGGATTAGGCCAGTCCACAGCCAAGAGCCTGGAACTGCATCTGGGTCTCCCACTTTAGTGGCAGGAGCCCAAGCACCTGGGCCATATTCTGCTGCTTTCCCAGGCACATTAGCAGGGGGGCTGGATCAGAACTGGAACAGAACCCATATGGGAAGCCTGCTGCACCACAACAAAGGCCCCTGTTTTATTACCCAAGTTCCACAAGCAACAGAAAGATCTTTTTTTAACAGCTGTAACTGACTCAACACTTAGAATAGTACTTTCTGGGGCCGGCCCTGTGGCACAGCGGGTTAACACCCTGGCCTGAAGCGCCAGCATACCATATGAGCGCCGGTTCTAGTCCTGGCTGCTCCTCTTCTGATCCAGCTCTCTGCTATGGCCTGGGAAAGTAGTAGAAGATGGCCCAAATCCTTGGGCCCCTGCACCCGCATGGGGGACCTAGAAGAAGCTCCTGGCTTCGGATCGGCGCAGCTCTGGCCGTTGTGGCCAATTGGGGAGTGAACCATCGAATGGAATCTCTCTCTCTCTCTCTCTCTGCCTCTCCTCTCTCTGGGTAACTCTGACTTTAAAATAAATAAATCTTTAAAAAAAAAAAAAAAAAAAAAAAGAATAGTACTTTCTATATAGTAGGTATACTATAAATATTTGCTGATTTAATAGACAATACTAATATTACTGAGATGGGAGGTATAGGTCTCTGTGGGGAACTCAGAGGAGGGACAGATCTGTGTGAGAATAAGGACTGGACTTGTTTCGAGAAGGCTTGCAGAAAATGACTTGTAAACTTGAGTTCTAAAGGAGGAAGAACTGAAAAGAAGTGGTAGTCTTCCAGGTACCGGGGAGATGGTATTCAGGTGAGTGAAGGGAGTTCACTAGGGCTCAAGTGCAGTAGGGTGTGTGAGAGTGGTGACAAAGAGGCAGTACAGTTCCAGGGCATGAGGCACCTTGGAAGCCCAGCCAGCTGATGACATCCTTTTCTTTTCTCCATCTAGGTGGCCCACAAACTATTTAACAGCTTGAAATGAATGTGCAGACGCAGTTACTCCGGCCTTCATCACTTGGGCATCAGGATATCTATCATGGTTTTGAACATGCCATTTGTTTCTCATTTGTGTAACTGTAAATGCACGTCAACCTCATGGATTTTGGATTAGGGAGTAGCTTCCATGTAATTAGTAGTGATTCCATCTTAATAAAGTTCTGTGGTCTGTGGATCTGCCTCCAGTGTTTTTTTTGTTTTTTTGTTTTTTTTAAAGATGTTTTTATTGGGCTGGCACCGCGGCTCACTAGGCTAATCCTCTGCCTTGCGGCGCCGGCACACCGGGTTCTAGTCCCGGTCAGGGCGCCAGATTCTGTCCCGGTTGCCCCTCTTCCAGGCCAGCTCTCTGCTGTGGCCCGGGAGTGCAGTGGAGGATGGCCTAAGTCCTTGGGCCCTGCACCCCATGGGAGACCAGGAGAAGCACCTGGCTCCTGGCTTCAGATTAGCGCGCTGCGCCGGCCGTAGCGCGCCAGCCATGGCGACCATTGGAGGGTGAACCAACGGCAAAAGGAAGACCTTTCTCTCTCTCACTGTCCACTCTGCCTGTCCAAAAAAAAAAGTATTTATTTATTTATTTTTGAAATAGTGACATAGGGAAGAGACAGAGATATCTTCATCTGCTGATTCATTCCTCAGTGGCTGCAACAGCCAGTTCCAAGCCAGGCCTAAGCCAGAGCCAGAAACTCCATCCAGGTCTCCCATATGGGTAGCAGGGGACCAAGTACTTGGCCATCTTCTGCTGCCTTCCCAGGCACAGCAGCAGGAAGTAGGATTGGAAGCAGAGCAGCTATGACTCAATCCAGCACTGCAATATGGAATGCTGGTGTCAGAAACGACAATTTTAACCCATTGTATAGTACCGGCACTGGAATTTTTTTTTTTTTTTTTAATTAGAGAAGTGAGGAGACCTCCCATCACCTGCTAGTTGAGGAGGAGATCGGTCTTTTTCGCTGGCTCTCTCCCCAGATGTCTGCAACGGCTCTGGTGGGGCACTCAGTCCAGGTCTCCCACACATGTGGCAGCAACCTAATTACCTGAGCCATCTCTGCTGTCTCCCAGAGTCTACATCAGCGGGAGACTGGACCAGGAGCCAGAACTGGATGTTGAATCCAGGTACTCTGATGTGAAATATGGGTGTTTTTAACTGGCATCTTAACTACTAAGCGTCCCAGATCAATGGATTTTAATATCACAGAGTAAGAAATATTCTTGATAAGGGTTTCAAAATGCACACATTTAGGGAACTACAAGAAGTTTAGGTATAATATCAAAAAATAATATTCATAGTTATTGATGAGGGCTGTTAAGATACTCCTTTTTCCAACTAACCTGATCCTAGATTTTCCTCATATACTTCTATATAATATATTCCACTAGACTATTTCACAATGTTAAACAAAGAAGAGGTTAAGAAAATCCAGCTGTCTTCCATTAATCCACACATTAATTTGCAATAGATTTGTTTTTTTTTTTTTTTTTTTTTTCAACCAGGCCGGAGTGGGCCAGGGGGGGGAGAGAGACAGAGAGAAAGGTCTTCCTTTGCCGTTGGTTCACCCTCCAATGGCCGCCGCGGCCGGCGCGCTGCGGCCGGCGCACCGCGCTGATCCGATGGCAGGAGCCAGGAGCCAGGTGCTTTTCCTGGCCTCCCATGGGGTGCAGGGCCCAAGCACCTGGGCCATCCTCCACTGCACTCCCTGGCCACAGCAGAGGGCTGGCCTGGAAGAGGGGCAACCGGGACAGAATCCGGCGCCCCGACCGGGACTAGAACCCGGTGTGCCGGCGCCGCTAGGCGGAGGATTAGCCTAGTGAGCCGCGGCGCCGGCCAATTTGCAATAGATTTGTGACACTGCTATTCTCTAAATGTATTTTTGGAAATATTATTTCTCATAAAGATATTTGTTAATATATAAGGTTTATTTTTTAATGAACAAATATTTTTTAAATTTCAGTTTTAATTTTTTTTAAGGATTTATTTATTTACTTGAAAGAGTTACACAGAGGGAGGAGAGGCAGAGAGAGAGAGGTCTTCCATCTGCTGGTTCACTCCCCAGATGGCCGCAATGGCCGGAGCTGCGCCGTTGCCAGAGCTGCGCCGTTCCCGAAGCCAGGAGCTTCTTCTGGGTCTCCCACGCAGGTGCAGGGGCCCAAGGACTTGGGCCATCTTCCACTGCTCTCCCAGGCCACAGCAGAGAGCTAGATCAGAAGTGGAGCGGCCAGGACTCGAACCAGCACCCACATGGGATGCTGGCACTGCAGGCAGTGGCTTTTACCCGCTACGCCACAGTGCCAGCTGCTCAATTTTAATTTCTAATCTAGCAAATGTTAATAGATAAGAAATAAAAGCTTTTGGAGGTTCTCAATAATTCTTAGGTGTAAAAGGGTCATAAGGTGAAAATGTTTGAAAACTATTATTCAGACCCAACCCTCTCTCCTTTGCTCTAGCATTTTGCAATGGCTAAACAGAGGCTGGGCCTTTTACCACAAAGGTTGTGGCTATGATCCCAACACCACCTTTGAGGACTGGGGGATCTGGAATACCTCTTCTCTAATTTTACTTAAGATTTATTGGAAAGGCAGAGTGACAGAGAAGAAGAGACCGAGATCATCACATGCTTACTGACTGAAATGTCCACAACAGCTGGGGCTGGACCAGGCTGAAGCCAGGAACTGGGAACTCGATGGGTCTCACATGAGTGGCAGGAACCCAAGTACTTGAGCCATCATCTGCTGCCTCTGAGGCACATTAGCAGGAAGCTGGATTGGAAGTGGAGGCAGGACTAGATCCCAGGCACTCTTAAATGGATACAGGTGTCCCAAACAGTGGCTTAACCTACTGCATCACAACGCTCACTCTGTTCTCTAGCATATTTAATCTCTTCAGTGGAGCCTTATCTGGACTTCAATTTGTCTGTTTAAAAAACTGGCCGGCGTAGTGGCTCAATAGGCTAATTCTCCACCTTGCAGTGCTGGCACACCGGGTTCTAGTCCCGGTCAGGGCGCTGGATTCTGTCCTGGTTGCCCCTCTTCCAGGCCAGCTCTCTGCTGTGGCCCGGGAGTGCAGTGGAGGATGGCCCAAGTGCTTGGGCCCTGCACCCCATGGGAGACCAGGAAAAGCACCTGGCTCCTGGCTCCTGCCATCGGATCAGCACGGTGCGCTGGCCACAGTGGCCATTGGAGGGTGCACCAACGGCAAAAAGGAAGACCTTTCTCTCTGTCTCTCTCACTGTCCACTCTGCCTGTCAAAAAAAAAAAAAAAAAAAAAAAAAAACCAAAAACTTTTCTCCATACACATGACTCCCTTCATCTGCTAGGAACTAAGTAACAAACTTCTTGAGTATCATTTATACCGCATCTCTTTTTCATCTCTCATTCAGTACTTGCTGAGAGCCAACTATGTGCCATTCATAGTTCTAAGTACTTGTAACAGCAATGATTTAAACAAAGTCCTTGTTCTTTTAAATCTTGGGTTCTGGGGCTGGTGCTGAGGCATAGCAGGTAAAGCCTCTGCCTGCAATGCCAGCATCTCATCCCATATGGGCGCTGGTTCAGCTCCCAGAGCTCCTCTTTTGATCCAGCTCTCTGCTATGGCCTGAGAAAGCAGTAGAAGATGGCCCCAGTCCCTGGGCCCCTGCACCCGTGTGAGAGACCTAGAAGAAGCTCCTGGCTCCTGGCTTTGGATTGGTGCAGCTCTGCCCATTGCAGCCAATTGGGGAGTGAACCCCAGTGAATGGAAGACCTTTCTCTCTGTGCCTCTCCTCTCTCTATAACTCTTTCAAATCAATAAATCTTAAAAATATATATATATATTAGGTTCTGGGGCAGGTATTGTGCAAGGGGGTAAGTTGCCACTTGGCACCGGCTTGAGTCCCAGCTGCTCCAACTTCCGATCCAGCTCTCTGCTTATGGCCTGGGAAAGCAGTAGAAGATGGCCCAAAGGCTTGGGCCTCTGTACCTGCGTGGGAGACTTGGAGGAATTTCTTGGCTCCTGGCTTCAGATTCGCGCAGTTCTGGCCGTCACAGCCAATTGGGAAGTGAACCAGCAGATGGAAGACCTTTCTGTCTCTCCCTCTCTCTATCTGTAACCACATCTCCAAAAAAAAAAAAAAAAAAAAAAAAAAAAAAAAAAAAAAAAAAAAAAAAGTTGCCATGTGGGACACCTGCATCCCATGTAGGAGTGCTGGTTCCAGTCCAGGTGACTGCATTTCTGATCAGCTTCCTGCTAATGCATCCTGGAAGGCAGCAGATGCTGGTTCAGGTGCTTGGCCCCTCCCATCCACATGGGAAACCTGAATGGAGTTCCAGGCTCCTTGGCTTTGTTCTGACCCAGCCATGTCTGCTGGGGGCATTTGAGGATAGAACCAGCAGATGGAAAATTGATTTTCTTTCTTTCTCTGCCTTTCAAGTGGCTAAAAATAAACAAACATTGGGAAAACTTTATTTTTCTTTTTAAAAATTTATTTTTTTATTTGAAAGTTACATGGGGCCAGCGCTGTGGCATAGTAGGTTAAGCATCCTGTGGCACTGGCATCCCATATGGGTTCAGTTCGAGTCCTGGCTGCTCCACTTATGATTCAGCTCCCTGCTGATGGCCTGGGAAAGCAGTAGAAGATGGCCCAAGTCCTTGGGCCCCTGCACCCACGTGGGAAACCTGGAAGAAGCTCCCGGCTTCAGATTGGCCCAGTGCCAGCAGTTGTGATCATTTTGGGTGATGAATCTGCATATGGAAGGTCTTTCTCTCTGTCTCCCCCTCTCTGTAACTCTGCCTCTCAAGTAAATAAATAAATTAAAAAAAAAAAAGTTACAGAGAGGCAGAGAGAGAGAGAGAGAGAGAGAGAGAGGGATATCTGCTGGCTTCCCAAATGGCTGCAGCAGCCAGGGCTGGGCCAGGCCGAAGCCAGGAGCTTCATCTACGTCTCCCATGTGGGTGCAGGGGCCCAAGAACTCTAGTCATCCTCTGTTGCTTTCCCAGGCCATTAGCAGGGAACTGGATTGGAAGTGGAACAGCTGAGACTTGAACTGGCATCCAAATGGGATGCCAGTGCTGCAGGTGGTCGCTAAACCATCTATACCACAGTACAGTCCCCCTTTTGTTTGAATCTTACATTCCAATAAGAGGAGACATCTAAAAAGATTATCTAGAACTTCTAAACAGGCAGATTTCTGGGCGCATATT